TACTAGCTGATTTTTAAAGTATCTAGATGCCTTGGCACCCAGTGCCCCTGTCTTGGCGCCGGGGTGTCCGGATACTTTTGAAATCGGCTAGTACAGTACCGTAAGGAGCGGAGTAGACTACAGTGGCAGCCCGGGGAAGCGGGGTGGAAAGAAAAAAAGAAGTTACTTGTACATTGCGCAGCAAATAATAATAATAATAATAATAATAATAATAATAATGGAAATGATAGTTCCGGTTCAGCCCAGCCCGACGCCAGCGGCCGGGCTGGGAAGGCAGAAGGGAAGGGAAGGGGTAATGTAAATGTACGGTACGGGGGTTTCCCCATCCCGTCATAATATATCAACCATCGACTTTCTGCAGCGCCATCTTCATCTTCAACTTCATCTTACCCGATGAGGGGAGGGGAAGGGAAAACAAATTTCCGTCACACCATGAAACAACCGCGCGATCACACACCCGTCATTACTGCGCAATCTCCTTCACCTTTCCGTTCCCAAGGTTGAGGTTTTTTTTTTTTTGTAGGGGGGGATGGGTGAAGGAAGGAAGGAAAGAGAAGATGAGGGAGATGTGGATGGAGATGGAGGATGATGGATACCGTAGATAGATAGATGGGTCACAGATACCCTAGTCAGATGCAAGGGACATCGCGTGCTGGTTCTGCTCCTGATAGGCTACCCCTCGCTGCCACCGGCTACCGTATCCATTGAGCGCTCAAGTGGATGATCGAGAAAAAGAAAGGGAGGTTCCAGTGGGCTGTTTCCGACTGTACGTCGATCACGGGGTCATTGGCTATCCGATTGTTTTTTTGTTTTTTTCCTCCAGCGCAAGGTGAAAAACATTCGTTTCCCCATTTCTGTACGACAAGGATTTTTAAAGGGGAAGGAGGGGAAAAAAGAGGAAAGATTTTCAAGGCGAAACAGAGAAAAGAAAGCAGGAAAGGAAGAACAAACCGTTCGATGCCCCAACGTTTCTGGATATTCGGATCACAGCCGCATCAGGCATCCTCAGCCTTAAAGCCAGTCCGCAAAGAGATGCAACCAATAACCAGCGGGAATTCCCTCCCAGCCAAGCTAAGAAGAACAGCGAATCCTCCAACCCCCTCGCATCCCGCCAACGATTCGATACGATACGGTACGTGCCTGTACTCGAGTACCGTATTGTCCACGAGTACCGCCCAATCACGCAGGAGAACAGTAGAATCCAAAAAGCAAGTAAAACGACCCAATCGAGATCCGGAACCGACTGAGCTCCCCCCCACCCCCCTCCGAGGACGGAGCCGTGCTTAGCAGGACCACACCGACAGGTTCTTGCTGTGCAAGTAGCGCGGGAGGGGGAGGGGAGGTGGGGCGTATTGCGCCTCTCGCGTCACAGCCCGCTCTCGGTACCTGAAGATTGTGGCGAACTTTAAACCACCCCCTTCGCTAAAGCCTCACGGACCAATAAATGTCTAGCGCGCTTTTCTATCGTGCCGGATCGAATCGGATCGAATCAGGGCCAACTTGATACTTGTACGCCCCGGGAAACTTTTTTTCCGTCTTTTTTTTTTCTTTCAGCAAGCTTGTGGCCTGGAGGTGATGGTGGTGACTAGTATAAGCCACCTTTTGAAATTATCCTGGAGCATGAGCCAAAGGAGTTAGTAACGGCTATTATCCATCCAAGAATTCTCGATTTGGGTAAGGGGCTCTTCCGAGGCTGATCACTTTTGTCCTGGAAATTTTCGACCGGGGAAAAAAATAAATACACCGAACCGCAGGGGCCAAACACCTCTATTTTGAGTTTTTTTCTTTTTTCTTTCTTCCGTTTAGCGGGGAGGGCGAGGGGCGCAGGGTTGTGGCGAACTCGTCAGTTTTTGAGGCTTGGTCGCTATCTTTACCAGTGCCGGTACGATACTTCAGCCAATGCACAGATCATACTATTGCATTGTAAGGCCGTGTATGATAATTACAAACAAAGGTGGATCCGAACGGATGGCGAAACTGCTACCGTATCATGCTCCACGGTGGATGAATGAATGAATGAGGAAATGAGGAATGAGTGAGTGGCTCAGCCAGTCTCAGTCATATGATATCTAGCGGCCAAAGTTTGCTCAAGTCAGTCAGCCGCAGCAGGGTTCATCCGGTTTTCCGGTTCCGGTTGCAATCGTACGGTGCGGTGCTCGTACTCGCCCTTCTGACCACCGTTCAGTACTGTACGAGCACTGTACTCGAGTACACACGTATGCTGCAGCAGCCCCCATTCCTTCCCCTTATTCAGCGCTTTATGATGCCGGAACGCTGCTGCCTGTATAGTGTATAGCGCTGTATGTAGACATCGTAGTTTTGGATATACTGCCCACGCTACGAGTACAGTACATAAATGAGATTGGGGGGGCGTATGATATGGTACGGTATGATAGGATAGGTTGAGTCCAGAGCCCGGGAGAAGAGAAAGGAAACGCTTTCAGAGTGCTATGATAATCATTATAACTTCTGGAATAGCGGTGAGTGAGTTCCGGATGTCACTCTGCCTATCATGTCTGACGGACACCCTACCATACTTGTTAGGTGTCCAGTATGCCATGCCAGGTTAATAAACGATCGGCGGCTTCGCTCAATTTCTCGATATTGGGTTCATCCCTCCTCCTCCGGATAGCTTGCAAGTTGCAACCGCCACCGGTAAATAGAGGGAGTGTTTCCTCGCTCGTACCGGGTAGAGCAGGGTGGGCACCGGATGAACGTTTCGTTTCGTTTTCCTTCGTTCCTTTCCTTGCCTTCTATTGATGAGTCATCCCAAACATTCATCTCCGCTCCACCCCCTCTTCTCCTTCCTTCCCCTCTCGAACCCTCGGGATCGAACTCGGGGTATCGGAGAGCTAACAAGTGCCGTCTTGTTCCTCCTGTAGAATAAGGAAAGGAAAGGAAAAGCAAGCAAAGAGGAAGAAGAAAAGAAAAAAAAACCTACGACGTTTCCCACGAATGATATTGTGGGGAATGGCTGCTGCGATCTATACCTACCTTTCACGATCCTCGGGACAGATGGAGACGTGCAGGAGAGAAAATCGCGTCCCTATTCATTTGTGTAAGGATTGGATTGGATTGGATGGGGAGTCAAGTCAACCAGTTTTTTTTACCATCGCACCGGTTTTTTTCTCTTCTCTTCTGCGCAGGGCACGCTTTGGATTTTCTTTTTCGGAGCGTGCTGGGGGGGACGATTGAAGGTTTGGGAATGATTAAAAATCCAGAGTTGCGAATCGAATTGGGCAAATTGCGATTCGGGCCGGCTGAAGTGGAATGAATATCACAGTGGGGGTTAAGCTGGTTACTGTAATCTGCTGGCATGGAGAAAGAGAGAGAGAGCGTGAGTGAGGCAGAAAAATAAAGGAGGGAACCCTCATAATGCGGTGTCTTGATTAGCGTGCTGTTGATGTAGCCATTACTCGAAGAGGATGTCGCTCACGAGGCGGGCGGACATGCAGTTGATTGACAAGCCTTTCCTTCGCCTATCGTCGGGCTCTCGTTCGACGGAGGGGGGGGGGGACCATGTAACATTGATGTATCACGACAAAAAAAGCGGGCGAAAAAAGCCAATGTGAAATGTGCAAGCAAGATACGGTAGCATTTGTGCGGTGCCCACTTTGGCGGGTTCCGCGGACGCGGGGATGGGAGGAGGAGAAAGAGGAAGAGGGGGAAAAGAAGACAAAGGATAGCCTTCCAGTCACTCTATCAGCACTACTACAGGTACTCAAGTGCTGTGTGTCGTGCTATACAAGCGCAGTGCGGTACTCGAGTACTCGCCTCCTTGCCTGCTTCCTCTGATACCGAAGTAATGATGTCGAGAAGCACGGTCCAACCCCGTGTGGTGGTTAATGGCGGAGCTTTGATGTCAGGGCTTTCCTACTGTGGCAAGGGAGACAGAAAGAGCCGCAATCAGTGCCAAGAGCTCACTGAAACCACAATCAAGGGAAAGAGGATTCTCCATTCGGCAATTGCTTTCGATTGGTTCACGAGATTCCCGGGAAAGGCGGTCCTTTTGAGAGAAACGGTGGCTTCCAACCCCCATTCTGACTGTGACAACTTTGTCGAGCCACGTATTTCCTTGATTTTTCTTCCCCTCTCCCATCGCCTTTAACCCGATTTCCTATTTATGCTCCCTGCCTCCCACCCTTAACCCCACAAGGATCGTAATAAATACGACAAGAGGACAAATTTTTCAGACAAGTTAAAGCCTCTGAAGACGGCGGAAAATCGGAGCCGGTTTAGTTCAAAACGTATTTCCATGCTTCTATCGATAGCGAATGAATAACCCGGTTACATGTACCAGTACAAGTATACGCATGCGGAACCAGTGTTTGAGAACGTTGGAATGGGGATTCCTTAGCACCCTGTGGTCCATTGACTGGTGGGTAGATGGGCTTTTGCCCCCTGGGGGTTTCCCTGTTTTTTCTTTTTTCGGTGGGGAAAGTTAACTTGGTTGAAGCGGACGTGAAGGATGCATTTAGCTTTCGCGAGGTCTTGATCTGATGTGACAGCCAGCCAATTTCCTCCTCTACTTCGAACCAATAGACTAGATACTGCTGCTGTATCCATGCTCTGCTTTGCCTTGCGAGCAGGAGCGTTGAAGTGCTCGTTCATCCTCCCCGCGATGCTCGGGTAGACAGCTATTTACACGCGACGATTCTGAAGCATGATTGTTTTTTTCTTCCTGTTTCGCTTTCTAGTCTAGAGTGCTGTACTTGTAGCGAGTTAGGGGTACCCGATCAGAAAAGCGGGAAGGCCAAAGGGAAAAAGAAAATAAAACGAAGTAAAAAAAGAGACACCTCATCTTGGTTACCGGCCGGCAGAGATTCAATATCACGGAGAACCCTTTAAAGTCCACTACTGTAGGTACAGAGGGGTAGGCGGGTGGACGAACAACGAAAAGGACGATCGTGAGATTTAGTAGATCTTTACGAACCACGAGTGAGAGGGGGTTTTTTTCCTTCCAAACACGTTCTCGGCCCTGTCTCACATTTTTTTCCCCCCGTCGCAACAGCAATCCAGCGAAGAGGACAACTGTGTCACTACCACCCGACCAGCTGGCTCACCGCGACACATCACGTCTTCTTTTTCCGGACGGGAACGAGGTTGGCTTCCTTGATGGATGGGGAAGGAAGGAGTGTGAGGAGGAAAGGGAGAAAAAATATTTAGCCTAGTCCCCATTCTATCTAGCAAAGCCCGTATCCGGTGCCCATTTTGGCTGAAAGAGCGTGTGCGGAGATATTCCGTTTCGCAGGACCATCCCCAATCCCGCACAATATCATACTGCAGGCTCCAAGAGTAGTAGGATTCACTTGGAGCCCCCGTACAGGTACCGTATTGTCTGTACTGGTACTTACTCTTGGAGCGCTTTGGAGTGCCGGCTCGCTCTACTGTATCTATGTCTGGTAGCAGGAACATCTGACAATGTCACGGACGGACAGACAAGGGAAGTGTGGGCCCCGAGAGGGAGGGAGACACAGTACCGGTACTGTACGAGTACAAGTAGTATCGGTAGGAAGTGGAGGGGGAGCATTTGCGGTCACCACCACCGGTATTGGAACATTTGGCCATTTCCCCGACAGTCATATGGGGGGAAAGCGGCCTTTTGTTTGTTTGTGTACCGTCCTGGGGCGTGTATACCGGAACTAGACCTCACAGATGCGATGCCGTAGGAATAGGGGGTACAAGCACAGGAGTGCAAGCTTTATGATACCGTATTTGGGAAAAATAATGATAAAGTCTATTTGCTTTTGTGTTAGCCTCCCTCCTTCCACCTCCCACGGGCGACTATTTTGTTCGATTCGACTCTACATCTTTATTTTCTTCTTTGGCGGAGTATCGTGGCTCCGCACCAGTTGGTCCCTTGTCCACAACCTCGCTGCTCTTCGCTTGCAGCTGCATCTCTTTCAACGCGAGTAAGGCGGGCAGCAGGGCGATGCATTACCGGTATCCTTATTTGGAACACGCAGTTCTTGCTGTCACTTTCCCTTTCATACTGACCTGTGCTCAATGCTCGCTCGGCTTTCCGTCGAGGACGAGATAAGGGCTCCATATCAAACTGTGCCCCAAAGTCCAAGGTATCAGGCACACGGGGTAGCTATGCTTCCTTTGTGTCGGTGGTCGAATGCGGTACAGTATGCGGTTTATGTTCAGTGGCCATGCTGTGGGTTATTGCTTGATTCCGCTCTGCTACCGAAAGTGCCCATGCAACGCTTTACAGTAATTTGAAGGTGTGCAGGAGCGGAGGCGAGCTTCCTTCCTTCCTGATGGCGTGGTACATACAGTGTTGTTTTGCTTTCTTTCCATCTCCCTCCCTCATTTCCTTGTTTCGAGTATGCATGGCTACTCGTATGGGGGGAGGGATGAGAAGATATGGGGTCTCCACTCATTCATCGTGTGGTTCGGGAGACTTTTTTTTAATTTTTATTTTTAATTGCAGGCATTCGTTTCCTTCGAGTACGGTAGCTTTCCTCTCTCCGACCTTCCTTGTTGCTTATTGTGAGCTAATGCATCGAGTCAAACATCCCCCCCTATATGACCGGCTTTGTTATAGGTACCGGTACTAGTACCGGTACTCGAGTACAGTGCTCGACCTTGTTCAAGGTCTCCGGATGATTCATTTGTGGTGTAGGTGATGGCTTCACGGCATCAGATTTCGTATGATAGGAGCCGTCGTGACCCGGGCCAACCGACATGCAACTCGCATTCCGGAGACCCTAGAAAGGGTCAAGTGCAAGCACTTGTATTGCTATCGTATGAAGTTGGGGAGCATTTGCTACATGCGAAGCCTCACACATATCGTGACATGGAGAGGAGCCGGGCAAGAAAAAAGGAAGGAAGTGGACCAAACTTCCATTTTGGGGAAAAATGAGCACGGATTCCGTTACTCTTGTTTTTGTTGTCATTTTTTTTTTTTTCCTGGGCTTGTATGGTACGGTACTGCGCTCGAGTATGATACTCGTACTTATGCGAGTACCGTACCGGTAACTCCACCATGGCTTGCGACTCTCAACTAGCGCTCACACACACCACGCGCAACTCACTCACTCACTCACTCACTCGCTCACTCACTCGCTCACACTCACACATTGTCACACACACACACACACACCTTTTTTTGAACCTCTCTGTGTTCTGTCGGCTAGAGAGGAGCAATATGGGAGTTAGTCTGTGTTCCGTCCGCTCCACTCTCACACACCCTCCGACACCGTCATCGTTCGCTGGCATGCTAGCAGGCAGGCTCTGGCAGCCTGCGCCCACTACCATCCTTACCACCACCACTCCCTACCCTCAGTCAGTCCGGTTACCCCCCCCGACCCAAGATGCAGCTAGCTTGTGTCCCTTGATCGGGGAGGGGGTGGGAGACATGTTTGTCATCCGGCTCAGGGCTCGGACAAGACTTGGATGGCAATGATGGTGGTGGTGGTACTCGAGTCTACGAGTAGTCGCTGATGGCGGGAGCTGCTTGCTGCTGATGGTGCTAAGCCAGTCCGGCTGTGAACGTCCATGTCTGTCTGGGTAGTCTACTACGCTCCGCATACCCTCCCCCCCCATACATCCATCCTTCCAGATCTACAGCGCTGCTGGAGCACACACAGACAGGCAGACGGACAGTGTACGAGTAAGCTAGCTAAGCTACCTACGGTGAGCCCTCCAGACCGCCGACACACGCATCCAGCGAGAGAGTGGCCCACCACAACACGATGGGACCAATGCTGGCTTGTCCCCAAAAATAATATTTATCGTGGCCGAGTCGCCCCGGCTGTCTGCAGCCGCGTCGCCGCGTCCTCCCCTCTCCCTTTCTCCAAGTAATCATTTTACTGTGTACGAGTACAAGGGATTGTTATTCACTTTACTGAGCTGTGATCCTTATTTGCCCCCCTCCCCCCGTCACAGGGAGTCAGTCGCTTTTTGACTCCGGATTTATTTCGTTATTATTATTATTGTTATTATTATTATCATCATCATAATTTTTCTATTTATCGCTCCCCTTCACAGGACGCCCGCCTCCGCCGCAGCACCTTACCTGAAAGAGGAACATCCCTCATCCTGGCATCCTTCCTCTATCCTTTCCTACCGCACTGGGACTCCCTCCCTGCCTACTTGCTCGTGCTGCTTTACTCGCTGCCCTTTTCCTTCACTTACACACCACACTCTCGTACATACCCCCCCCCCCCCGTCACACATCTAACACACCTTTCCACCCCCCCACCTCCCATCCGCTGCCCCAACTACCTTTTGGTTGCGAAAGAGGGCTCAGCTCTAGCCTCCGTCATCAAAGGGCTACCCTTGGCCTCCTATAAACATTCGCCTTGACCCCCCCCCCTCCATTTCCCATCACCCGGTGAGGTCCACCCAAAGTGATCTTCCTGGAGCAACATCATTTCGACATCACTCATCCTTATATATATCTCTTGCTCGTTCCTCGAAGCCCACACTGGATTAATCCATAGCCTTTCCGGATTACCTTGTCCATTCTCTCTGGTCTCTCTCTCGCCTGTTGCCTGTACTGGACCGCAAATTGTTAAAGGGCTCCTGCTATATCTTTGCTATCTATACTGGATCTGCCGGAGCTATTGTCCTTCTCTTTTCATTGTTAAAAAAAAAAAAAGCTCCAGGACTCCGAGTCCAATTTCAAGGAAAATGAGCAACACTTCTTCAAATTCAAGCTCGACCTCTTGTGCCAGGCCTGAGGACCGAATAGGACAATTACTCGCTGGACGTCTGGAGCTCACGGGAATCCTTGGTGTGGGTGCTTATGGGGTTGTTTACACGGCTGTCGATATCTTTTCCTGCACCCCATTTGCCGTGAAAGCCCTGTCAAAGATTGGATTGGATGCCCGCCAGAAGCGATTTCAGCAAAGGGAAATTGCTCTTCACCACAGGGCCAGCGCTCACCCGGGCGTTGTCTCCCTGGTGAAGATACTCGACACTGCCGATTGTACTTTTGTCATCATCGAATACTGCCCTGAAGGTGACCTTTTTACCAACATCACTGAGCGTGGACAATATGTGGGTAATGATGCTTTGGCCAAGAGAGTTTTCCTTCAGCTTTTAGATGCCGTGGAACACTGCCATAATCTTGGAATTTACCATCGCGATCTGAAGCCGGAGAATGTATTAGTTTCCAACGGTGGCCTCCAGGTCAAGCTGGCGGACTTTGGGCTCGCTACTACAGAAACCGTCACCTCAGACTTTGGCTGTGGCTCGACATTCTACATGTCGCCTGGTGAGATTACGAATTTTTATTTTTATTTTTATTTTTGAATTCTGGCACTTTTTTTTCTTTTTTCTTCCTAAGCTAATCGAATTCTAGAGTGCCAACAATCTGCCCCACGCAATGTTAGCTGCTATGCTTCCGCTCCTAATGATGTCTGGTCCCTGGGCGTTATATTGGTCAACCTGACCTGTGGCCGGAACCCTTGGAGGCGGGCCTCCCCTTCAGATAGTACATTCCGTGCCTACTTGAAGGACCCACGAATGCTCAGGACCATATTGCCTTTGTCTCCGGAACTTGATGCTATTCTTCGAATGATCTTTGAGTGCAATCCCCAGAAGAGGATTAGTATCCCGGAGTTGCGATACCGTATCATGTCTTGCCGCAGGTTTACCACTGGCCCAAACCCTATGGATAGCCCGCCTCTTTCCGAGGCTTCTGATAGCTCTGATCTTGTCGAGCCTGATGTTTTCCATCTTGCCTCAACACCTTACCACTCCCAGGCCCCAGGCGTTTTCACCCCCGATTCAACGCCATCCACCACGCCTCAAACTACCCAAGCCTCTCGTCAGAATCCATACATGTTCTCGAAACGACTCACAAAACCTCCATCCGAATCATCATCCGAATCGCCATACTACCATGATGCATCTAATTCATCCTCGGGAAACACTAGCCCCATCATCGTGCCAGTCACCCCGTCAGATTTCCCGCCATCTCCCGGCTCGAAGTTGTGGCATTTGTCAATTTTCCCATCGATAGGTGGCGCTAAAAGGGTGCAATCGCCTACTCTTCCAGTTTCGAAGGGTGTTCGGGTCTTCTAGATGCCTATCGGTCAGACGATGCGAACACCGGACGGTTTTGGCCCTCCCCCTCCCAGGAAACAGTCCCTAAGGAGTGGTGGATACTATCGTGGGGCACAAAGGCTGGAAAAAGACTACCATCCTTATTCTTACTGCTTGGGTTGGCAGGGTTTTTCTTTCTTTCTTTTCTTTCCCCTTTGCTCGCGACGTGCGACGATTTCGTTCGCATGCTGATACACTTTCTTGGGTTTGGGCTTTTCATGGGTGTGGGAGTGGGTTCGTTTGGAATCGGTTTTCCACTGGTTTTTTTTTTCTTGTTTTTTTTCATTATCACTTTACGGATAGCGTTGGGTCAATAAGGAGTTTTACTGGCTTTTTCTTTATCTCTTTATTACATTTCTCCTGTATCTATTACTTTTCCACCTTTCCCTCCCTATTCTTTCCTGATCGTGCGCTCGGCATTCCCACCAGCGCACGCGATGGACCGGACGCGTTGGGAATTTTTTTACCCTTCAAGCACTTTTTTGTCTGTATGTATTTATGTAAGTACCGAGGGAGCTATTGGGGTGCACGCCGGAGCCGGGTGGTGTGGATTTCTTTTCCCCCGAGTCGTGTTTACTTTTCTTTTGTCATTGGGTTTGGGCTTTTTTTCCTTTTTTATTCAAACGGGTTTTCTACGGCGTCTTGCATATAAAGCATGTCTTTTTTTTTATTTTCCCCATCATATTTTTTTATTTTCGCGTTTTCCCCGCCAAAACATCTATTGGATATCGCGCCTCTTTTTTTCCCCTCTTCTTTTCGATTGGCCGTCGGATCTTTTCCAAGAGAGAGGGAAAGGAAAAAGAGAGATGTGATGGATGGATGGACGGAAGGGGGAGGAGGCAGGGCGGGGAGAAATCGTGGAGGTGTCCCTTTTCTCTCGTCGGGTAATGAATGAGACATTCGTCAGTCTGTGGTGTGGTGTGTGGGAAGGGTTGAAGAAAAAGGGCCGCCCTGTATTTAAATATTTGCATCGTCATCATCATCATCATCATCATCATCATCACCGTCATAACTAGAGGTCATCTTTTCTCTAACACGATACTGATATAATAATTATTATCACCATCACTGGATTGTTCACTTTATTGTGTATTATTTGTTTACTGTTTTTTGCTTCGTTTGGGGGGGGGAGGGAGGGATGGTTTCGGCATGATTTGGGTGCCTAGTATGATAGGAATCTATCTGCGGTCTCAATCTACGGTATCAATGTGCGGTGTTTTCTCTCTGTGCAGCATGTATGTTTTGTTTATATAGGGAGGGCACAGCGTGGTAGGCAGAGTACTCGTACAGTACTTGTAGTCTACCGGTATGCGGCAACTAGCTTACCCACGAAACGAAACGAAACGAAACGAAACGAGGCGAGGCGAGACGAAACGGTCCTCTCCGGCGATATCCACGGGGGGGGGGGCACGGTGGTGACGGTGGCCTGCCCGTCGTCTCCGTAGCGATATCACTTTTCCACAGTTTGTTTACCTCGTTTATCCATCCACGAGCATTTTATCATACCTCTTCTTCTCCATCCTCCATCACCTGTCCGTCACCCCTAACCGTACGAGCACCGTACGAGTGCTGTACGAGTACTCGTACAGAAGGAGTAATGCCCACCCACCTCGCCCATCACACCTACCAACTACCGGGCACCCAGGCTAACGCACGTTACCATCCACATCCTGTCTCGCTCGCTGCCTCGTCTCGCCCTCGGCTTCGAGGTCGACGTGGCGATCATATGGTTCTCCCTTCCTTCCCTTTTTTCCTTTTTCCTCTCCATCTCTCCGTTTCCAACTCGTCGTTTCTGATCCGACCTCTGAGTGGTCGGTTGGTTGGCTGTGATGATGTTTCATATGGCACGGTAGCTTGGGTACGGTACGGTACCGTAACTCGGGGTAAGGAGGGGGGGGGGGGGGCAGGCAGGATGGCAGGATGGCATCATCGTGGGTCAGACCATGATATTACCGTATGATAATTATGATATTGCACCCGCACGAGGTGTGTAGAACTCGGGATCACAAATACCGGTGTTTTCCATCATCATTATTTTTCCCGCCTTGGTGATGATGATATGATATTTACCCTCACCTTGCCCAAACAGAGAGAAAACAAAAGGGAGAACTGCCGGCGAAGGGGAAGGGGAGAAGAAGAAGAAAAACAAATCAACAGTCCCTACCGTGCTCCTCTCTTTTTCTCCCCCCTCCCAATCGCTGCATCGTATTCCTTCCTTCCTTCTTTCCCCGCTAAAAGTCCAAGAGTCTGGCCCAGCCCCAACCCACCTTGTGATTTTCGCTACTTTTCGAGGCGTCCATTGTCGTCAGCAGCCGTGCAGCGATTCGCAAGGCGGCCAATCAGATTCACCACCACCCCTTCCGAGGTAAGCAACGAGGGGCGCTTTTCTTCCATACCGGTATATTTATCTATTTATGATATTTTCTTTTTCCCTTTTTTGCGGGGATGGGTGGTATGGCCTTCTTCTTTTTTTCTTCTTCTTTTCTTTTTTTCCATTTTCCCCATTCGCTCTTCCCATTTGAATGGGAGGATGGGTAGGTGGGTAGGTGGGTGGCTTACGGGACTGCCGGGGTTTTGCCGGTATGGGTTACAGTATTGGGTGGTGGATGTGATATGTTCTTCTTCTTCCTCTTGCTTGCTCTTCTCTTTCTTGGTAGTGGTGGTGGTATTGCACGTGTTGTCTGTGGAGGAGGGGATGATGGGGATGAATGAATGAACGATGATGGGTGACTCATGGGGGTTTATTGTTATCGTCCTGTGCAGGCATGTTTGCTCGGGGGGATGATTGTGTTCGGTACTGTACGAGCACTAGGGCAGGGTACTCTAGGCAGTATTTGCACGTTGCCGTACCGTTGCTAACGATCCGGTACCGTATGATACATGGGCACCGTACAGCCCGACTTGTACCTTCCATCTCTAGGCGATACCAGCCATGCATGCCATGCACGCATGTAGGCAGGAATATGATGGAACTACATACACTACTTACGGTACCCGTAGAGCATTCTAAGACCCGCTGATATGCGAAACAATCATAAACAAAAGGAAAAACAAAAACAAGAAGTGAACCCGAACAGGTGCTCTCGCGGTATGTGCGGTTCCCGTACCGTACACGAGGTGAGTGAACCAGCTCAGCCCAGGCATGATACAATCACGCAGTACCGTGCTGTACAGTACAGTAGTCTACGGGTACGGTACTCGTACAATACATACAGCCTAAACAGCCAAACGCTTACCGGATGATACTCTACCGTACTCATACACCACAGCGCCGACATCCACTCAGCCTCACTCCTACCTACAGCCAAACGGCCAAGCAGCCAATCAAGAAAACCAGGCAGAACAGCCAGTCAGCCAGTCAGCCCACCAGCCAGCTGCCTATTCCATCCAATCCACTCCCGAGAAAAGAGAAGAACGAGAGAAACCAGGGTAATGACCACCAGTCATTTATTCATTTATCCATCTATCCATCCATTACCCGTGCTCGGCGAGCACGACCTGACGCTACGAGGTATGTACGGTGCTTTACCGCTAGGGGGGTGGTATGCGGGGGAGATCAGGGTGTACAATACTGTACGGTGCTCCGCGAAATGGTGAATGGTCGGTCGCTGGGTTGGGGAGATCTGTAGTCTATGTTCCGCATGTATGATATTGTACTGTACGAGTGGAATGGGAATGCATGGGCGTATGAAAGTAAGGGAAAAAAAAATGTCTTGGACCAATCGGTGGGAGTGGGCTTTGTTTTTTATTTACTTGTTTTCTTTCTTTGGTGAGGCGGACGGAAGGAAGGTAGGAAGGCAGGTAAACAGGAAAGCAGGAATGGAATGGAAAGGAGGGTGTGTGTGAGTGTGTAAGTGTGTTTGTTTGTTTGTTTGTTTGCTTGTTGGTGGTGGTGGTGGTGGATTCCTCTACTTCACTTTACTTTACTTCATCATACTTGATCGCTATTGTTGGTACCATGTATGGATATTTGGAATATTCCCCTATGGCAGTCTTATACATACATACAGTATCGTATCGTACTGGTGACTTTTTTTTTCCTTTCTTGATTTGGTCCTACTATACCATACCACAGCGTGACAAACGAAACAAAGCATTGCCGGTATTCTCAGATATATATATATCAGAAGAAGAAGAAGAAGAAGGATACTATACAAAAGCACAAAGTATGATAATATTACGATATTTGGGATTATCAGAGCGCTTAAGTCTGGAATATATACGTATCATACATACATATCATAACTGCGATGACTTGAAACCAGCTACGGTAGATATGATAGCAAGGTTTGGGGGGGAGGGGGGGATTCTATTTTCTCAGCCTTTCTGTTTTGAGGTTGTGCTATGCTATGCTGTGTTGTGCTGTGCTGTGCTATGCTTTGTGTTGGGATATCGGTATGTATTGTACCCTACCGATTATGTACTGTACGCATGTGAATTTTGTATCTATGTATGTATGTATGTGTCGTTCCCTTCCCCGGTTGTGGAGATTAACCGATTGTATGATACCTGCACCAGTAACTAGCGTCATATAGTACTTTATTGTGCGATGCTGTGCTGTGCTGTGCTGTGCAGGGCACTAAGTACTTGTACACTCTACTGCAAGGGGGTGGAGGGGGAGGGAGAGTATCATCATTACCGCCACCCATCCTAAGGTCCAACCCCGCAAGACGAGCGTTACAGTACAGCATCACACACTCCACCACCCACAATCAATCGCTCGCATTGTACAAAGTACAGCACAGTATCATATAACACGGAGGAAAGGAACGGGTGCATAATATCGTAAATCAGGTAAGACGGGGCGGGGCTGACTGACTGGCTGGCTGGCTGGCTGAACTTGATGCTCATCGCGTCCATTGGGGCACTGTACGGTACGGTACCGGTACTGTAAGGCACCGATGGTATCATAAGGACTTTTCTTCCATCCACTGACTGACTGTACTTACTTTTAATCCTGATAAGGCGTTATGGTATGTTGTTAGGGTATGGTACGGTAAATACGTTTGTCGATTTGCTATGATATGGCCAAATGTAGCTGCACGGTACTTGAGTATGATACAGTACCTGGCTGACTGGCTGACTGACTGACTGACTGACCTTCCCCCTTGCAAACGCCATATCAATGATCGACAAGGTTGGAAATAGTAAAAAAAACGAGCCCTTGTTTTATGTATTATAGCCTACGGTACCACCCATATTCATTATCTATTACCGCTGTCTGTCTACCTTACCGCACTCGGCGCACTCGGCGCACTGTATCATACCGTATTGTGATACGCCCAGAAACGAGCCGTGGGAGAATCCAAGTTATCCATGCAACCATACTGTACTCGAGTACAGTACCGTGTTATACATGCGGTACCGGTGGTCTACAGTCAGGTTAGGCTATCACAGACCGGACCGACCTACGCAATTGCGCAACGACTTTCCCATTCCCATTCCCATTCCCTTCCCTTCCCTTCCCTGCATGAACATTTTGCGAGGGTTTGCGCTTGGGGGCTTTCGTCCGTCTTTTTTTCTTTTCTTTTCTTTTCCTTTCTTTTCTTTTCTTGCTTTGCGCGGTTGTGATGTTGCGGCGGTGCGTTGCCGGTTGGTTGGCATGGTTTTTTATATTGTATGGTGTCTATCTTGGGTGGTTTTGCGGCGAGCGGGTTGGTACAGCATTATACTGTAAATTACTTGGGATGTATGATACCGTGGAAAAAAAAAAAAACTTTCTTCCTTCTTCCGTTACTTGTGTCGATCATACTTTTAGGTCGTTTGCTGGGGAAAAAAAAAAAATCATCGTATGATACTGTGAAGGGATTTATGAGTGGTAAGAGGGGGTGATGTGATGATGATGATGATGATGGAAAAAAATTGAAAAATTGAAAAAAAAAAAAAACGGTGGAGGGCACATCACAGCATGGGTCGAAATCTGTCTCCCCTTTTCTTTCCTTTGCTTTTCTTTTCTCCCCTGCAGAGGATTCATTCAATCCACTTCAATTTGCACCGGTTTCCGATTCCTTTCCTTTTTAATATTCCCCTTTTTTTCCACTCCTGCGCCGTCCATTTCTCTGGTCTACCCCGCCCCTTCTCTCCTCCCCTATGATGTGATACCGGCACGGCACCGTCCCCTGACAATGGCGTAGTATCATACTTTTCGTCTCACGTCGGACTACCGGTATGATATAACACTCTCGGCACCGCACTAGGTAGGTAAATCGATCATAGGTAAGAATGACCAGAAAAAACCGAGGGGAAAAAAGAAAAAAAAAGAAAACATCAGGACGCACAAACTTTCATCCCCGTCTCGCTACCAACTTTCCCGTACGGTACGGTACCCCTACCGTCCCGCTCTCATCCTCGCTTGATTGCTCGCGACGTTTCCTTCTCTCTCCACCACCCGGCCGGTACACTCCGGTGGAAACGTGAATAATGGTCAATGCATGCATACACGCACGTCATGCGATATCACTCGATGCGTGACACTGCGTGGGATTAGTAACTGGTGTCCGTGAACTCGTACAGCACCGTACGGTGTGTGTGTGTGAGTGGGGCGGGCGGGGCAAGGGAGGGGAAATACGGTACCGCACCGCACAGCAGTAAGCCCATCGGTATACGCGAGTATCATACCGCGAGTAGGCACGGGACTTACAGTACCTCGTACCTCGCTGGAGCTCCTCCGCACGAGGATGGATATTGTCATCGCGATGATTTTTTTACCTCGGAGAATCAGTCAACGCTTTTGCGATGGCCGGTGATGCCGAGGAATTATAGTGACCGACCACCTGCCCTCTCCTTCTTCCTCAACGTGGGGGAAAAGGGGGGAGGGGGTGGGAAGGCAAGGTAGGTCTCGATTCCTGGCGAGATTCACGATCATGTTTTGCATTGGAGCGGGGTGCGTTGGGGGTGTTGTATGGATTACCGAGCTGGGCGGTGGAACAAGTGGAAAGTGGGTTTCTTTCTTTTTTTTCTTTCTCGCTGTCCTTTGGGTGACTGACCTCTTGAATTGGAAAAAAGGAAAACGATACTGTAGATTGGCTCCTTTTCCTGCACAGCGCAAAACTGTGGTGGCGACCCGGGATCCGAGACAGGTACCGGAAATGTGTATTGGACTGATACGGGTTATCCATGTGCAATATCAATCTTTCCAATTGCACCATGTGCTGTGCAAAACATTATCACACCTTATTATAGTACTCGTGCTTTGTACGGGGGAGATTGCGGAGCGGGCGGGGAGATAACACAGTTGGCGATTGATTCGAGCCCGCTCTCTCCAGGTCTTGTCTTGTTGTGAATTGAAGAATTGCATTCTCAACTGGGCCTACCCACCTGCCTCACACCCCGCATCACAGTACCATCCATTTTCAAACTTCACTCGGTTCTTGGTGATCTAAGATTGTGAAATACAGTACAGTACGAGTACCGTACCGTACTCGAGCGCCGGACTATATTTCCTTCTCCTTTCCCTTTCCGTCCCCCCCTATCATACCACAATCCTAATATCGTGATTTGCTTTTTTCCTCTTTCTTTTTTCTTTCTTGTGTTATGATACGGCGCCCATACGAGTACAATGCAGTGAAGTGCCGTACAGTATTCGAGTATTCTTCAGCCCAGCCCAGCCCAACACGGTACGGTAGACTAGACGAAACAAAAGAGGCAGAGGAAGCGAGCCATGCGCGGTGAACGGGATCTGCTGACACTCTTGGAGTACCGTGCTCGCACAGTTACCGCAAGCTTCGGCCCAAGAGCTAACTACACTTACTGTAATGCATGAGTGAGCGCTATGATACAGATACCCCCTTCAATGTCTGCACGGACAGACATTATAATACTCGTACTGTTCTCGGGTGTAGCACCGTACTACAGTAATTGTATTATAGCAGGTATAACAACCCAATACCGGTAAGTTGAACGAACCGATAAAGCGCAAACATGGGAAAGAAAGGGAAAAAAAAGCAAACAGCTATGGAGATCTCCAGGATTCTTTTTCTTTTTCTTCTTCTTCCCCTTCCTTCGCTGAGATTTGTGGAGAGCCCAATCATACAGTACGAGTACCAACTGTTAACAAGGGGGGGGTGGGGGTAAGTTAGGTGATGCGAAATTGCGCGTTTTCTCGTTGTTGGTTTCTTCCCGATGGATGGGGTTGGGGAGATCGGGGGGCGTTTCCTCGTTCCTGTTCCTGTTCCTTTTGTTCCAAATTGTGGGGGGGGGAACGAAATACCGTACAGTACTGTACTCGTACGGCCTTCTGTGCGAGGGGAGGTAATGATTCCGAAAACCTTGTTTTTGGGTATATGCCGTCGATACCGTTATCACGGTTCAGCGCTCTTGCTCTTCTTCTTCTTCTTGCATTTTTTGGGTAGGTGTGCGTATTTACTGTACTGCACTGTACTGCACTGTACCTACCGTACTATATTTGCCCGTGGACCATATCGAGAGTACAGTAATAACTAGCAACTTACTGCAGAGAATATTGCCACCGAACTCTCACTCCTATCATACTTTCCTTGCCGACATCTCATCCGATGGGTTAAACTCCTCCTTCCTCCAGCTGCAGGTAGGTACCATCCGTTACAAACCCGGGAAAAAAACAAACAAACAGGAGCATACATATCCTTGGTATCATAATAGCTATATACATACTATGATAACACTCACTCATGCTCTGACATACTTCATGCCCTTCTATAACCCCCCCCCCCCCTCCCGCCATCCAATAATTCCTCATACTATATCCGAATTTCTTTTCTTCCCCCCCTCCTCCCGGTCCGGTCCGGGGTACGGTACGAGTACCCGTACTGTACCCGTACCGGCACAAGTACGGCACGTAGCTGGCTGTGAAAAAAAAAAAAAAAAAAGTCCTCGACTGGGCACGCCACTGTAAGAGGTGAAATATCACCACACCTGTCGCGCATCGATCGTGAAAGGGCATAATTTCGGTGAACACGGTTCATATTTTTCTTTTCCTTTTTTTTTTTTTTTTGCCACTCTTTGAGTTTTTTTCCTTTCTTCCCTTGTCGGTGTTTATGGTATCGGAATTGGCGGGCGACGGCGGTACGGTACTGTACCGTAAAATTCTTCGCATTGTGTGTGTGCTTGTAGAGTCCAGTAGGGTACGGTATAATACAAGTACAGTTCATACGAAAAGTTACCACTTGGGCAGAGGGCGCCATCGGAGAAAAGAGGATGATTTCTTGGCCAGTCTGGAAAACGGGTGAGAGGACGTTTAAATTTACGGCGTCATACCGTGCCCTTGACCGAGACGATACGACACGATACGAATCCGAAGACGCCCAAATCATGATTTTTCCATCCTTCTGATAATATCGGTGTGTCCTGTCTAACTAAAACTTCCAGTTCCCATCGTATATCACCTCTTTCGCATTATCGTGTTGAGCATAGTGTTAATTGCCAAAGTTCATTTCGGACGCCGGTACGATACGGTACTCGAATCCCCGGAATCGTGACGGTATGCGCGCGGGAGCTTGGGTCGTAGCGAGGAATTCCAATAGACTACCGCATTATCTGGTCATATCCGCAATGGCACTAGAGGGACCTAGAATTAGAAAGGATAAATAAGCGAGCTTGCCACTCGGTTGCCCGGCAGCTTATCAGTGAAGGGTCCACTAGAAACACTAAGAATTCAACGTTATGATTTCTAAAAGCATTGTATGTCATATGCCTTTGTGTGAACATAAGAAATAAAAGGCCAATGCTGTCCAGGATAAATCAAGTTTCGTAAATCGTGGGAGAAGCAGTCTTCTTGTTACTAGAAGGATGGATATACAACTCTTGTTGAACCCGATTCCAACGGAGGAGGAAGGCGAGGATAGAGATGCAGCAATAGATCATCTCATGGCAATACGGCACCAGCCCACAGCCAGTGAATTGGCTCAGTCTACCCCGCACAACCCAGTATCAACTCCAGGAGCTTTCCTTTCCAACAGACCCGGAACGATAGTGAAAAGCCTGGAGAATCGGTCCCTGAATATGGGATATTTCAGCAATCCACGAAAGCAAATAAAGCGCTCATACACCCAAGAATTTAAGATAATGGTACTGAATTGGTGGAGTCGAGAGAGCATTCCTACTGATGATAGGATGAATGAAGGAGGAGCAAGGCGACCATTTCTTCGTGAGGTGGCAGAGCGATTTTTGGTCCCGATTTCAACCATCCGCGATTGGCGATTGAATACAAAGAATATCTTAGAAAGCAAGAAGGGAGAGCGTGTGAACAGGTCTCAAGTCCGACATTGCAGGTGGCCACAGTTGGAAGATGGCCTTTATAAGCGTTATGCTCAACGCCGAAATGAGAGAAAAGCAGTAAGAAGAAGTTGGCTTGAGCGACAAGCTAAGGAGGTTTTTCATGAGTGCTATCCAGACTCAGAGCTGGACGAGTTTCGGTTTTCGGATGGCTGGTTTTCTGGTTTTCTCTCCAGACACTCAATTAGTCTTCGATTCACGACCAATAAGTCACAAAAGATTCCGAATGATTACCTTGCGGTAATTCTCTCGTGGCTGCGATTTAATCGTCAAAATTCTCAGGTCCAGCTAGCGATGGGTGACGAACAGTGGGAGGTTGGTCGGTATTTGCTAAACAGTATCGTTAATATGGATGAAACACCACTTCCATTCGAGTACCTCGATGGCCAAACCTATGCAAGTAAGGGTAGTCACTCGGTTCAGGTTCGAGCAACCTGTAGTGGTTGGGATAAAAGACAGGCAACCTTAGTTTTAGCTGTTTTTGGTAGTGGTGAGCCGCATATAAAGCCTCTCCTTATTTTCAAAGGAAAGGAAAAGTACGAGGGACCCCGAAGTCAGATCCTAAAAGCAAAACGAGAAGCAGAAACCGCAAGATATGACCCGCGTATTACCACGAAATGGAATGAGACCGCCTACTGCAATGCCGATATCCTCATTCACTGGATCAATCACCAGTTAGCACCAGCACTCCCGAATGGTCCCCGGCTCCTCGTCCTCGATGTTGCGAAATTCCATACGAAAAGAGAAGTCCTTGACTGTCTCCGGAGTCATCACATTACACCCTCCCTTGTCCCAGCTGGCTGTACTGGCCTTGTGCAGCCACTCGATGTCGCAGTTAACAAGCCACTAAAAGATATTCTCCGGAATATTCTAGATGATGCACTCGATATCTATGAACACGATTACAACTTAAACCTCCGCGAACTCTCCAGATCCAACATGAAGGCCATTGCAGAACGTCGAGTCCTGGTCACTTGGGCTGTAGGGGAAGCGTGGGAGCACTTTTCAACAAAATACTCAAACCTTATTGTTACGACATTCCGAAAGCTTGGTCTCACTCTTCTGATCGATGGCACCCTAGATTCAGAGCTTTCGATTAAGGGAATTGACTCTTCCTTACTTAAAGTTGGAGACTGGCATGTGGGATCCGGAAGGGAGGAGGAGGAGACTGAGATTGTTGGTTCTGCAGAGAGGTATATGGCAGATCTGAATACAGATGATACTGTTATAGAATTTGTTGATCGTGATTAAGCTTATTTCTGTATATGAACTTTGTTATTCCTGTTAAGTTTCTCTAGTTTCATAGTTTTTTTCTCATTAGTACAAAAGATGGCTTGCTTTCGTTTTGATACTCGCCTATTTAGTCACCCCCCTCACTTTCTACCCACGTGGTTTCCCCGCACTCTAGCGCCATTGCGGATATGACCAGATAATGCGGTACCGTTCCTGCGTAATACTGTATCTAGTCTATTCCCTCTCGAGCTCTTCCTGCCTTGCTTCTCCTTCCCTTCCTTCCTTCCTTCCGTGCATGTACTGTACTTGTACATTACCCATTCACAATTACGATCACTAGTAGATTCCGCATGCGAGAAAAGGAATCCCTCATCTCAGTCGTAAAAGCATTTAATAATAATAATAATAATAATAATAATAGACCGCTGTAGATATCGGGAGGAGTGTTGCAAGATATGCTTATGTACGATCTGGAAGGATTTACACGATCCGATGGTTAGGTCCGAGGTATTTTACCTCACCTTGCTTTTGTCTCTCTGCTCTTCGGGCGAGGCTTAAGTTAACTTGAACTGAAGGTTTGTACTGTACAGTACCCGTACCATACCTACCATACTCCCATTGACAACTTGTGGTCGGGTTCTGTTTTGTTCCGACACCCCGGAAATCTTTTTTCCCCACCTCAGCTAAAATGATAATAGTACTTGTATAAAAAGAAAAACAAATTCCTGGAATTTCCATTGCCGAGATTTCAATAACTACGGGTAAGGTAATCGGGAACGTTTTTTCCTCTCGTCCCGATCTAAGATCTCACTCTTGCGAGTCTTGCTCCGACGATAAAAATCCGGGATCCTTCCTTCTTTCCTTCTCCCCTCGCCGAGGGTTAGGTTTCCCCCGCTCATGATATGTATCATATCATACCACCATAAACCCCCACACCGCGAACCCCTCATCCCACAAACTTAGACTACCCGTACTGTACCCGTACTGTTGCTGCTTCTCCAGACTACACCCATCATCACCCTGGCACATTCATTCACCCAGGGCTGACAATTGCACCACCGAGCAACAACGAAAACGCAAAAAAGAAACAAACAAAAAAAAAAAAACACCCCCGGAAACTGCGCTATCGATCCATTCATCGGACGAAACGGAAACTTGACGGTCCCCACAAATCTACGATCTAGAGATAAACAAGTGACCCAAGAGCAAACATGTCCGGTCGTGCAGGTTCGTGCTTACCCCCACCCCTTGTGACCCTAGGAGGAGAGAATAGCTAACGAATCGGCGGCGGCGCGTGGGCGTCATGATAAAGGTGGTAAACAAAAACCCTTGAAGCAACCAAAGAAGGTGAAGAAGGATGAGGATGAGGAGGATAAGGTTTTTCTTCCCCTCCCCACCTCCTTCTCCCAAGATCGGATGATCGAGCGGATCGGGCTAATTCGGTGGTGGCGATAGGCTTTCAAGGAGAAGCAAAAGAAAGGTTCGTCCTATGCTGTGCCGTAGCTTCCGGAGGGGTTGGGTGATGGGATGAGCTAATGACTCTTTGTGCAGCGGCTGCTGAGGAGAAGGCCATGGCGGAGAAGGCTCGGGGGAGGGGTCCTCTGGTACGTTTCCTGCTCCAGTTGGCGGCTGGCAGATGTATGGCTGACGAGCTGCGGCATGATACAGGCCACCGGAGGTATCAAGAAGTCTGGGAAGAAATAGATTCGATTCATGGGAGATGACATTGCGTTCACGATTTGAACGGACAGCTGTTTCCGACTCACGATACGATGCGGTGCTTTTCTTGTCTAGGGAGCACAAATCCCTAACTATATCCTTTAGTGATCAATGAATACGTTTTTTTTTTTCATAGACGGGACCACGGCTTTTGAGTTTTAGTAGAATACATTATTAGCATACACGCCACAGACCATAGGTCGCCATCATCACGGTCTAGTACCAGTACAGCAATTTGCTCTTACATGGTAAAAAACAAAAAGTTTTCTATTCCCAAGATTTAGAGTTCGTATCCAACTTTTACCGTCGGTGTCGGCGGAGCAGCCTTTTGCTCGGGCCTCCTCTGCTTCCTGATGGTGATGATTCCAGCACTGTTCATATCCCATCCCACGCCACATTCCTTCTTCAATCCATCCCATTTAGTCCCCGTGACGCTCTCCAAGTAACCCACATCCACGGTGAAGTAGCTCTTCCCCAAACATTTCAGCGTGTGATCTCTCATCCGCTGATCCGCGTCCTCCAATAACCTGGCTTTATACAAATCCACCTTCCTCCGCGTAGCCCTGAAGCTCCAGTAATTGCCTTGGATCATCGCATCAAGAGCCTGCAGGATCCTATAATCCGTAACCTGAAACTCCCTCTTGATCATGAATGCCTCGTTATAAGCCTCCATCTTACTCGCAAGATGAAGCATAAGGTATCCCGCAAATTCCTGCTTCTCGCTAGCCGACAATGGCACGTCCGGGTGGATATCGTAGAGCAAGTGTTGAATAGCGGGGTGGTATGAATCCGGATGCTTCATGAGGATTGATATCCGGATCATAAACATGTAAGCCTTGGAGGAGAAAGCATCGACCCGGGAAGAGCCCACAATCCCTTCCCGCAGCTTCCGCATCGAGAGTATTATGCTGGCGAGTTCGGCGTTATGGGAGTCGGCGTAGCGGGCATTTTTACCCTGGGCTGCTATTGCATTCGTTGAGGGGATTGCGGCTGCCAGCTTGACGTCGAGGTCTGTGCTACTATCTGAAGAGCCGCAAAATTTGACGTACTTTTCAGCAATCTCGGCGTAATACCTGGTGCATGTGAGCTGTCGGGATCTGAAAGTTGGATTGCTGAGGGGGTTAGTTCATTGTGGGCAGGGGGATGGCTAACTTTTCCTGGTTCTTTTTATCCAGTAATCTTTTTTTTTTTTTCGGATGCGCAGGTTAGTGCTTGACCGGGCGAACTGGTCAGGGGAAGTTATACCTAGTATCTCCTACTCGACTATTAGCTCCACACCCCCCTCAGTTCCCCAGCAAGCAAGTGTCGAGAGGCTTGGAAACTAACCTTTGCTAACGAATCCGTACTCATCAACAGCTGGCTTCAACCGGGAAGCCCTCCAAGATGCCGTCCTGGTGTTGGAGCCCTCCGCATCCCCGACTGTCCCTCCAGAACCCGACCCCCCATTGCCATTGGCACTGCTCCCTCCTCCCCCTCCTCCTCCTTTACCCCCCCGTCCCCTTCTCCCGCCCCTAACAGAATACTTTTCTGCGGTAGACATCCAGAGCCCAGCCGGAAATATCTCCCTCCGTCGTTAACAATAGGAAAGTAATAATAGTGATAAAAGCCCGAATACCGGTATGTTCGTTGCAGAGAGCAAGTTAGTGTGATACTAGCCACAGTGTGAAGTTACCAACAAACGTGGGGGGCGCGCGGTATCGGGAACCAAGAAAGGATCGTCATCCTAGGGAAGAAAGGGGGGCAATTTACCCACGCGTGCTTTGTGGCAGGGGCTCGGCAAGTTATCGTTGAGCCTCAGGTTACCGGTTGCCCAAGCTAACTTTATCTGCGTCGATAGATGGGCTCAACGTTATCGAATTCCCAACAAAACATGTGATACCGAACCGTTATCATGCAGCTTTTCCTGAGAAATATATACAGTATATATCTCCCTTCTTACGGGCCCCTCACCCATAATCGGTTGGACTCGTTTTCCGTCCTTTTCGGAATTGGTTGTTAGTTGTGAACATGGCAGTCAGGAATCGGAATGCACAGCGCGGTGCCGGCGGTTCGGCTGGGGAGGCTGTCGTTGAGGTTTGTATCATATGATAACGCTCAGCACAATTGGAATCGGGGTTGCTGACAGGATACGATACCCAGGCAGCGAAGAATGCGGAGAAGAAAGTTGAAGAGGCTCTTACTGTTCTTCTTCATGAATTGCGTGAGCACACTTCCCTCCTTGCAATGATAGTGGTAGCTGACAATTGGCACAGCATTATGGATGCAGTCGGTTCCCCACGTCTATCACTCCCACTGGGAATCACAGCTCCTGACTCGTGAGATATACTTCAGGGACAACCACTTCATAGTCTCTGGTTACAGGCCTCAATCCCTATCGTTCTGCAAGAGCTTTCGCTCTCTAACATACCTTCATAACGAAACCGGTTCCACCCACCCCAATCCAGTATACCACAACAAAAATCCGATGGCTAACAGACCCGGAAAAGTAAACATCTACACCCACCTCCTCCCCGCCCTCCTATCCCTCCTGCTGGGAACCTACGCCCTGAAGACACACCTCCTCCCCCGCTACCCAACGAGCACAGTCCCGGACCTCCTCTCCTTCGCCTGCTTCTTCGCCAGCGCAAGCATATGCCTGGGGATGTCAGCAACCTACCACACGATAAGCAACCATAGTCCAGCGGTCGCAGCGCTGGGAAACAAACTCGACTACCTGGGCATAGTAATCCTAATAATGGGTTCCTTCGCCCCGAGCGTGCACTATGCCTTCTACTGTCACCGACGCCTTGCATACACCTACTGGAGCATGATCTCCATCCTGGGCGTCGGGTGCGCCGCCGCTTCCCTCATGCCGCGGTTTCGCACATCGGCGTGGAGACCCTTCCGCGCCGGCCTATTCGTCTCGATGGGCCTCTCCAGCGTGCTACCCGTCCTCCATGGCATCCGGATTTACGGCGCTCGCGGGATGGACGAGAGGATGGGGGTGAGGTGGTTGCTCATGGAGGGGCTACTGTATATTGCTGGCGCCGGGATTTACGCTGCTAGAGTTCCTGAGAGGTTCGCACCCGGGAGGTTTGATTTGCTCGGGGCTTCGCATCAGCTCTTTCATTGCTTGGTTGTGGCGGCGGCGGGGTCGCATTTGGCTGGGTTGGTAAAAGTGCGTTCCCCCCTCCTTCTTTCCTTTTTTTTCTTTTCCCTTCTCTCTCCATTCCCTTTCTTTTAGGTAGGTGGTTATATGGTAAGTAAGGCTTGCTAGTATGAAAGAAGAAACCATTATCATGTGTTTCTCTGTGCTAACGCGCTCTCACACGGTGCTTCTAGGGGTTCGATTATCTGCATGGTAAAGGCGTGCAAGTGTGCGGTTAGAGCTATCGAAGTTGGCGTTTGGAGGAGAATGAAGAAAAAACAAAAAAACGCAGGGCTGGCGGGGATATTTACTTTTTTTTTTTGAAAAAGAAAAGAAAAATCTGCTGGGCCGAATAATACTCAAGTATGCTACTATACGGCCGTGCTGTTTTTAGATAATGCCGGGACTAAAAGGTGCACATGAGTTGCTCTCGGAGTACAAGTGAAAGCATCGTACATGTACAGTAGCGGGCTCAGAGTTTCCTATTATCATATTATATCCATCCCTCATGAGATTATTCGTCCAAGAGCCTGCGGCGGGACCCGTAAAAGTATTCTGCACTACACACTCTGCATCTCGTAGCCTACTTCTCTTGCTGGTCCTCGAGTACAAACTGCAATGCCACAGAAATAGGCAGAAAGGGATAGAGGAGAGTGGGGAGTGGGGAGAGAGAAAGAAACCGCAACTACTGTCATTTCCACCAGCCTACTGATATCGCCTTGGATTTTGTCAAGTCTAACCTACAATGAAAAAACGCACATCACATCTCTCGTCCATCACAACTACCACAGCACAGGTTAAGTCTCCAGGATGAAACCCCCCCCCTTTTTTTTTACCCCAACCACCACCTCCCGAAAAGAACCGCAAAACATCGAAAACTACCCCCCCCCCCCCCCCCGGTATTCTACTTTGGGTCCAAAACTACGCCAGCAAAGTCCCTAGATGCAATGTAGTCCAGGGTTCTCTCAAAGTGCTTTCTCGGCGTCTCAGTGGTTGAGCTGTCATTAGAACTGAGGTTGGATTGAATCAGTTCTATAAGCCCGTTGAGATACTTGACCGTAACCTGATATCACCCAAGAACCACGTCAGATTTCACACTTGAGATATAGAAGGGGGAGTAAAATAATCCAAGACATTCCAGATGTGAGGGTGGCGTGTGAAGGGATCTTACAGCCTCATTTTGGCGATCAAAATAGTATACGTATCTATTCAAAATCTCCACGAAAAGCTCCACGCTAACCGCGGTGTCCATGCATGCATCTGCTACCCTCAGAGCACGCTGAAGGCATTCAAGGACCCGCTTCCCGTCCCTGTACAGCGGCGACCTTTCATCCTCACTTCTGGCGGGTATTTCGACGGCCCACCAAAGATGTGATGCCAGGTAGACCGCACGACACTGGTCCGGCTTCTTGAGAAGCTTGCTACCATACTGCGCACATTTCGTGATCAGAGTATCGTAGTTTTCCTTTGAAAAGTTTCGGGTCGAATGCAACGCATTGGCGATGACGCACACCGCCTGGAACTGGGCCCGGGAGTCTGAGATTGCCTCTTCGTATACGGTAAAGGCCTGCGCAAAAAATTCATATGCGACTTCTTCGAATTCCGTCTGATCTGATACCTGACCGCAGAAAAGGAAAAGTCGAAGACACAAATCCGGCGCGCCGACTCGAGCATATATCGAGGTAACCGTCTGATGCAAGAATTTATAGAGAGCTGTGCTCATGGTTTGCCATTCATTGTCATAATGCTCTCGGAGTTTATAGCGCCGGGCGAGTTTGATTCCGGAGGTAACTAGAGCAGGGGTTGTATATCTGATCCTATCGCCACCCTCGCTGAACGCTTTCCGGGCTGTTTGCAGGAGCTATGTCCCGAATCATCAGCAACGCTAAAGTCCCGTCATTAAGGGTTCGTCCTACCTTGAATTGGGTATCATTATTGTCACTACATAATAGGTGCACTATCCTTGCCAACCGGCCTTGCTCCTCAACCGTTTCGTCGGTCTCAATATCCCTACCTTTTCTAGCTGCTTGCGCTCCAGGATATCCTGCTTGCTGCTGCGCTCCTTCTCGAATCAATACGCGCAGCAGCTCGAATACACCCTCGGCGTGCTCTGGGGTGGAAATCTCGGTCTGGTTCTTCAAAATGTTCTGTGCAACGACCCCCGCCACAGATCTGCGAGTTGGGTATGATTGTGTGTGCAAAAGGGGGAGGTAGCTCGGCAGGGCAAGCACAGTGAAGAGGGAGGCATATGATTTGACAGGGGCAAGCATGAGATTTAGTATATGTTGCTGGCACTGTGGAGAGTGCAGGTCTGCGCTGTTGGCCATTTCTGACACCTTTTTGTGGGTATACCTATTGCGTAATATTAGCATCCGTGGACGGGTGGTGATATCATTGGACGTACGAAAGGATTTGGTCGACATATTCTGAGCACGATTAGCATTTTACTCTCGCAATTGCTAGGAAAGGATTGAAATACCTAATCGGTCTGGATATATATTCAATGCCAGATTGGCTAGCGATACCAGGAGGGCGATTATGTCCTGAATTGGAAGATTTTGGGCCTTCGAAGAAACGTAGAAATCAGCCGACGATCCTGAAGTGTGTCCAAAATTCCTCGTGTGTGCTCTTACATTGACCAGATTTAACACCTGTTTGAAGAAAATCTCGTACAGCTTTACATCCTCCGGAATACCTCTTGGGAGCTTCTCCGTAGATTCCGCAGAGGACCCATCCACCGTTTTTGAGTCCTTGTCCGCATTCCCACCCTTATCCTCACTCTCAACTGTATCCCCAGTCGAAGCCTCCGCAGGTTTCGCACCATCTGTTGGGGGATTTGTCGTATCATCGCCATCCTTGAATCCCTCATCCTCCACCTCTTTGAAGCCCTCGTTCCCATTAGCTTCCATGATCGGCGGTCGTTTGTCTGCGACGACTGGATCCACTGGTTTGTTTTCCTCCGCATTATTGGCTTCCTGGAGTCTTAACTTCTTCAGCAAACCCTGCACAGCCTCTTCCTCCTTTCTTAATTTCTCTTCGGGGGATTCGGACTCAGCCTCACGAGCAGCGTAGGCCGAGAGTCGATCCATAATGCCAATCACAATAGCCTTGACATTTACATTTGGGTTAAGTCTGGCAGTAGCAGAAAGGAACTGATCAAGGGTGTGAAGATGAAATTCATCCGGGAAAACCTGCGTTATTACTGTGAATCATCAGCATCGCGAGCTCTCGTTGAGGTGAAAAAAATGATGGCCGGAGCTACCTTCAAGGAGATACTCTTGCGCCAATACATCACGACATTGGACGACCTGCTCCAATAAGGGGGCCAGGATAATATTCTTGTATGTCTCAAGGTCGACAAGTTGACTCAATCTAACCAAATTGCTTCCCACCAGTAATTGAAGCTCTTTCCTCTCCTGTGTTCTCTTCTCGCGTTCCCGTGAGTGACCCTGGTGTTGCAACCGGACCCATAGTTTGTTCATCTCGATGAAGTTGGTAATTATGAAAGAGATCGAGTCTTGAAAATTACCTTCGGGGCTATCATATACACTGTCAGTCGCTTCGCAATGCAGTCAATGAGGGAGATCAAACCCTTCACTATTCCCCGTGGGTAGGTAATCTCGCGATTGGCCAGACAGATAATATCTCAAAAACAACCCTCTGCAAACTATGTTAACATGCCGCATCCCCACAGCAAGTAGACCCATACCTGATAGGGTGTTGAACCCCACGACTCATCTCCATCATATCTTTCATGATCTCCTTGACCGGTGCATCCTCGATAGACATGTACACACTATCAAGTGTTAGAACTCGTCCACTAGAAGCTAGAGCGCAGAATACTAACGTCCCAACCGTAATCATAAGATACAACCGCGGAACTATATTCCCTAGAGTTTGATATAGAATGAGCCGAGAGTCTCAACGTTTCCAGCCATCACTAACCTGCATACTGCACCAGCTCGTACAGATCCGCTAGATGATTCACCGGGTGACTCTCTCTTAAATAGAGAGAAAGATGCCTCAAAGCATCGAAGACGGCCATGTAAAGCTCGTAATATTGTTTAGGTCCCAACGAGCTCGTTCGAAGTTCCGACACCAGCGTAGAGCTATACCAACCCCGCCGTCAGCCTCCCCTCCCCTCCCTCGGATGAAAAATTCTCCCCCCAATTGCACATACCTGCATTTCAGAGCATCCATAAGCTTCCCAGGCGTCTCCAAGCACTTTCGCATCAAAGCCGTCTGTTGGCGGACAATGGTGAGGGCATCCTGGAGGAGGATCTGTTGATCTTCCATTGTTTCGCTCGGATCTCCGGTAAGCGGGAATCAAGTGATGGAGTCAAGTCTCGTTCTAGCGCTGTAGTCTATTAGGTGCGGTAATTCAGATATGAGCGTGGATAGTGAACGTGTAGCGTTAACGCGATGAGTGGTGGCGGAGATGGACGGGGGCTCTTCGGAAAACAGCTTGTCCCACGGAGAGGGAGCGATGACGCTTTGACAGATCGGTACAGTAACAACCAACGACTTCACCAGATCTCACTCCACTGTTCCGTTTTGACAGGAAAATCTATACATGCAGGGTAGAACCCCTAATTCAACAAGCCCGCAAAGCTAAATACCCGTTTCTCCCATCAGATATCTATCATGGTATGATATCTTTCCAACCCCTAAACTCGAAAGCTCCCAGAGCACTCTTTAGGAATGTGAATGGTTGCTACGGCATCCCGCTGTCCTGCTGTGCGGTAAACAGAATGGGTAAGCGATGCTGCCGGCGCTCACGATTCCCCGGTTGGACCCCCCCCGCCCCTCGGAGATCCGAGGACCCAGGAACGGCTTCTCGCGCGAGCCAGTACGAGCCATAGTACAGATGCCAATTCCACAATATACCCTCTCCAAGCAAAATAACGGCAGTGAAATATGCATAAATTGGAATACTGCACAGACATCCGACGGTACCGGTATGTCGTCACGTGGGCTGCAGGAACTGCTAGCCCGAACCCTAACCCGATCCAAATGATGATGAGATTGAGAGACACCGCATAACTTTAGCACGATACCTGTATCGGCACCGTACTGTACAGTACCGGCTATCCTACCGTTCGTGGGGGTGAAATCACAATTGCAGCACCGATTTTGGCATAGCAACTGCTTTTATTACACTCCTCCGCATCCTCTGCTGACAGCACTTCGGGGACTACCGGTGTTGTATCTTGCAGAAGTTGCATATCGGTCGCTCGCCTGGTGCGCTGGTGGATGGCTAAAAGTTACCGTACTAGAATGGTACTGTACCTTTGTGCAGTACAGTACAGTACCGGTACAAGATGTCTTCCCGTAGGCATCTGGAGCCACCTCGGGATCGCGGTTTGCCATATCGCTGGGTCCAAAGATTGCCGTCAGGAATCCTACGAGCAGTCATGGCCTCCGCACATCGAAAAATCAGGAATCCTGTTCGTTCGGGTGAAGATATCACATCCGTTGTTGGTGGCTGATGCATAGAGATTTGGAGGTTTTACGCCAAGGGGAAGCTATTCCCATCGGGCATACGTTGAGAATCCCACTTTTAAATAACTCCCTAATCACTTCCCCCTCGGGTTCTTCTTGAGTGCACGAGTACTTCATATAATAAACGAACAAAATGTTACTTCCCGAGTTCTATAGCGTACGTGATCCAAATACTGGTAAGATATGCGGATGCTCCGACTGACAGTGGCATTCCCGGACCGGCGACGGGCGAATGCCATCGCGCGTCGCAGACTATCATGATAGACGGCCAACACGCTCTGTTTATCACTGGCATAGCACCCTACACTCCAAAACCGAGCGAGCAGCCGAAGGGCGTGAGAATGTGATAGGATACTCGAGTATATATATCTAGCCCCGGGCGCCGCTTTCGTAATGCCTGTCAGAACCGGAGATTGATCAATGGATGCCTAAATTTTGAGCACTTTGTCGTCACGACCCCGGTAAAGCCTGCGTTCGTGCGGGGGTGTGCGCTGCCGCCATGTTATGGGCCACGGAATATCATATTTTATCTAACCAGCACGTCCCGCGGGCTCTGGAAAACAGGCGATTACGTCCTCGAGTTGGGTCAAGGTGCTCTTTTGTCCGTGCTCCCTGCCTGTTCAGTATTTCTCTTCCTATCGGAGGCCGGAACTATCTTGTCTCCACTGGCGAGTGATTATGTATGATCCTTTGTTGTCAGTCATCGAAGCATTTTCTCCTCTCTGGTCGATGCGGGGTTTGGATTCGAGCATTCGGTTGGGAGCTCGAATCCCCTCTTTTTAAGTACTCCTCATCCCCCAAAATAGGGCTTGCGATACCGCCTCAGCTTCTCGACTCGACAAGGCCGGGAAAAAAAAAGGAAAAGGAGCCCATTCGCGGTTAAAGATAATATCCGTATGCAGATCAACTCCCCGAAGAATCAGTGAACTTACCGGCATATAGAGATATGTTTTGTGAATCGAGAGATGTTTCCCATAGGGCTGTGCATGGCTCTTTTGCATGATATAACATTTCCCCCCGGCGACCTTCCGGGAACCACGACCGCAACGGCGATATTTATAGCTGTGAGAACCGTCAAACCGAAGCGGGGCGAGCCGGTTATAATACAGTATCGAGAGAAGCTTGCTATCCACATACCTGCGCTACGATACCAAATGCCTTTTTCAGCAAGGTTTCTCGAAAAGGTGTTCGATGGTGGCCTCTCGGGAGGCGGACGAGACTTTTTCTGCGGGGCATTCAGATGTTTCAATTGGAGGGGCTGTTTTTGATTGGGTGTTGAAGCGATATTTTTTTCCTTCCTTCCTTCCTTCTTTCTTTCTTTCTTTTTTTCTCTTTATTATTTTACTTTTTACCCTTTCCTTTGGCCTGAGCGATTATCCCCAGCATTGACCGCAAGCAAATGTCGAAGGTGTGGGGCCGGCCCTCAACCATACTCGTACATCCAGCACTGTATGACACGAGTATGATACTGCGCGAGTACGATACGAGTAAGGTAGGGTCTAGGTATCGGGATGATAGCAGTACAGTCGCACCCCGTTGCCCCGGGTCTTGCTCTCCCGGATTTATTCCTATGAATTTTGATATGATTTCTTTACACCGAAACCCAACCTGTTGTCCCGGATAACTCGCCTTCCCGGACGGATTCTTGGGATCTTGATCATCCGGGACAACGGGGTGCGACTGTAATTATCTTGGGAAGGGGATTTCTTTCCCCCGTACTTTCTTGGCGTCTGGGACTTCAGCATGCATCATATCGTATCATCCGTCTTTTGGCCGTGGGTGTGGGCGTGCGTTCGCTTCCCTCACGCATACACTGTACTCGTACTCGGGTACTGGTACTTGTACTCACTCGTACTGGGGGTATATGCACGAGTACCCTACTCGAGATCAGGAAAATCCCCCAGATTCCTCAATTGTAGCTCAAAGCAGAAAAAAAAAAACAAGAGGTTTCCCCTTCCAGCCACCTGTTTTGCATGATATCTCCCTCTCCCCCTTGCCGCCTTTGCTGCCCTGCGACACTCGAGGGTAACGGATTCTAAGCTGCCGCCGCGCTCTTTTGCTTTGTGATATGATATGTATCATACATACAGTATCATTTCTGTGTTTGCCTCCACACTTGGCCTGTGGTCGTACTCGTAAGTTATGGAGCAAAATGTTACTCCCAACATTTTGCCCTGTCCCTGCTCTTCATCCCTTGCTCACTCCCCCCCTTTCCTTCCATTCTCCCCCCCCCCCCGCAACCAACCTTCCCACCTTGCGGCGTTACCGTACGAGTAATTGCGCCTCCGGTTATCTCGTAACTGATTGCAGCTCCTCGCTCGCCTTGCTTTCGCCTCACCCTTCTTCCTCACCCTCTTTCTTCTCCCTCTCTGCCTTCTCTCATCGCGCAGTCGCCTTTGGTCCATAAGACCCGATAATTCGGAGTACCCGCCCCCGCGAGATCTCTACAGTACTGGTATATCTATCGTTCGGGGCGTTCCCGCATGAATTACTGTTCAAGCAGCACGAAAGAGGTAAATTTTTTTTTTTTTTTTTTTTCTGTTGGCGGCTATATAGCCCCGTCAGCCTCGTCGTTTCTTCCTCTCGCCTTCTCCTTCCCACGTTCCACATCCACATCGCTTCCCCAATCCATTCCTCTATTTTCTACCCGCAACCCTTCATCAAGTCTGTTCACCTGTCCAACCCACCAGTAACTGGTCCATCAATCCGTCCAAACCCCTCCATCCCTTGTACGCAATTAATCCCTTCCGTATACTTGCAAAGGTTTTCCGTCAACTGACTCTCCTACTCTCGCTAATAGAGGCACCTGTCAAACATGGCGAACGAATATTCGGGAACACGTTTGTACTTGGGCAATCTTCACAAGGATGGTTTGTTGCCGTATTCTATTTTATTTACCCGACCATCGCCCTGATGGCCTGTAAAGCTTGGATCTCTACTTATGACGACAGCGATAATGGTGGTGGAGGCTCGAGCATTCATCAGTCTCTTTTGCTAACCTTTCTACAGCTCGTAAGCAGGAGGTTGAAGATTTTTTCAAGGAACATGGCAGTGGAAAAATTGTCGAGATTAAGCTTATGAATGGATTTGGTTTCATCCAATATGATAGTGAAGCTGATGCCAAAGATGTCGTGCCTGGTACGCGGACCTTGATTAATACCCACTTGCATAGCTGACCTGACACTTCTCCTGTAGCTTACCACGGCAGGGATTTTAAGGGTCAAGCTTTGACGGTTCAGTTCGCTCGTGGCAGTCGTCGCGATCCTCGTCATCACGATTTTCCGGGCGGTGCGGACCGCACGTTTCCTCGTCCTAGACGTACTGCGTTCAGAATGAATATTACTGGACTCAATCCCGATACCAGCTGGCAGGTGGGCATATAATTACTCCTCGTTTCTACTGCAACTTGGGCTATCGTGAATTCCCCTTGGAATGTCCCAAGCCTGATGTCCATCCACTCCTGTCTTTTGAATACATTCCCTGTGCCTGACCAGGTCCTGACTATGGTTTATCCTTGATCCGGAGGAATGCCTCTTTCCCCATGTTGTGCTGGTTGGCCCCTTCTTGGAAATCCTGTCTGCGAGAAATTCCTATTATCATGACTGGGGCATTCAGCACCATTTTTGTACTTCTATTCCTGGATTTATGCCTATATCCGTGGTTATACCGCCGGGGACATTTTCCGGGATTTTGTATCCGTGCATCTGCTTTTTCTGGAGGGGCCACAGTCTGCGAGTGGTCTTTATTCGAATTCAACTCATTCGGGGTTTTTTCTGCTACCTAGGATCTCAAGGACTTTGCTCGCAAGTCCGGTTCCGACGTCGTTTTCTCCGAAGTCAGCCGCGACCGTGACGGCCGAGGGTGAGCTAACATACATGTCCGATTTCCGAACATTGGGCATCTGACTGATTGGAGTATAGCATGGTTGAATTCGAAACCTACGACGATTTGAAGCGTGCAGTTTCTTCTTTGGATCGCACGGAGTTTAAGGGAACTCAGGTTGCCTGTACCCCCGACGTACTACCGGTATCATAAATCCATCGACCCCCTTTTGATTTTCAAGTGCTCATTGCTTCCCCAGGATCATGATGTTCCTCGTGGGCATGGCCCTGGGCGTCGTTCTGTTTCCCCTAGAGGTTACAATGGTCGTCGTTATTCCCCCAACCCTTCTAGAGGTTATCATTCGCCACCTCGTCATAGCCGTCGTTACGAATCCCCTTCCAGGGGCTATCGCGAGCGCACCCCTCCTCGTGGGGGACGTGATCCCTACTACGGCGGTGGCGGTGGAGGTCGTGATAGAACTCCTCCGAGACGTCCTCCCCCCCCAGCCGATGACTACCCCCCCCCTCGTAGCAGCGGATACGGTGGGCGCGGCGACGACTACCCTCCGAGAAACGGCGGATACGATGATGATTACAGAGGTGCAAATGGGTCTGGCAGGAGGCATTACGATGAATCCCATAGAGGACGTCCGGTGAGTCCTCCTTACAGAGGCAGGAGTCCTCCAAGAGGACCACCACCACGCGGGTACGATGATTATGATGGTCGTCGTCGCTATTGAACTTTTTTTCAAGAAAATTGTTGGAGGTTGGTATTTTGCGGATTTTTTTGTGGCTAATGTTCTGTGCGCGATGGCTCTATTCAACCATAAAGAATTAGTCCTTAGCTGACTCGAAGGCCACACAAAAAAATCGCTAAAGACGCACACCCCAGCACTCATGGTTGCTCATAAATGAGATGGTACGGTTTGGGGGAAAACGGTTCGCGATTATTTATTTTTTCCGAATAGTGGGGGACTGGGCAAGTAGGGATGACAATAGGGAGAGTTGGGATGTCTGTTTCGTGTTTTTTTTTTCTTTTTTCGTTTCTTTTACTCTTTTCCTTCACAATCATGTTCTGATTTTTCCCCCCACCCAAAAAAACTTTTCGCTTTACTTTATGGCCTGGTCTTAGCTTTTTCACGGTGGTCTTCCTCTTGATCCCTTGCTTTGTGCTTTTTTCTATCTATATATTTTGTAGGGACAGTAAATGAAGTGATGTTCCCGCGATGAATATGCTGGGAGGAAGAGACGGAGGTTATCCATCAGGGCAAATTTGATAACGGTGGATGCCGACGATATGCAAGAGGCGGGAGAGAATATTTTGATAGGTGGGTCGCACCGGTCATCAAATGTCACTCGAGGATCGGACCAAATCGCGGCCGGTTGTTTGGAGGTGGGAAAGGCTTGGCGGTGATCTATTTCACGTGGGAAAGCTGGTTGGTTGGGTAGGTAGTTGGCCAAGGTTCTTTTTTTGATGTTTGTTCTTTCCAGGGGTTGGAGCTGTGGAATCAGAAAGTGATTGAGGTGGGGATTCGTGCCGGTCGTCGCAGATCTGCGTGGTGGAATGGGAGGTGGGGTGTTGAAAATTCTGGAGGGTTGAGTGTCATGAAAGTATCAAGGTGAGTTAAGTGATCCGCTGGGGGGATTCTGCTATCATACCTGGATATGCAAGAGGGTAACTGGTATCCGGTGGTGATGCGAATTGGGCATAGCTGTTTACTTCAAAGTTGGTTGTCCCTTCTCTTCCATCTCCCGCACTCTACGGATTCTGTACTAGCCGATTTCAAAAGTATCCGGACACCTTGGGGCCAAGACAGCGCCGCTGGGTGCCAAGGCGTCCGGATATTTTAAAAATCAGCTAGTACACCACCGCTATATTCCAGAAACCGTGGGTAGAGAAGGCGCCCGTAACATTCATCACACCAATTTTCTCGTAACTTGTAGGATACCGGTATCCCGGTATCAACTAGAAAGCTAGCGTGCCCTCACCGTGAAGATTTATTTACCTTTTCCCGCTCATGAAATTTCCAAGTGTTAGAGTGATAACCCATGACGTTGGGCAAAGCAGATCAGATCCGGGGGGGAGTGTTTTTATTATTATTTTTCTCTCACTTGTGCCATAAAGACTAGTAGGATTGCCTGATGTTTGCATGGGGGTATGGGAGGGGCCGGTTGAAACAGAGATAGCTTTGGGTATCATAGGTAGGCATGATGGGTTAAGTAGGGGTTTCAGCCATGGGAGCGGGAGGGAATCTCTGGACGGAAGTTAGTCCGGGGGATGCTGCGGGGTCACGATGGGCTTCAGGAAGAAGTTGGAGGGGGGCTGAGAAAGGGACAGATTGTGGTGGTTTTTGTCCTGCTTGCTTGCCTGCTGGTGCCAGGCGCCGCGCTGCGAGGTCATGAAGAAGTGGTATATTACTATGCCTGGTGGAAGGGAGGGTAGAAGTGGCTAAGTAAGGATAACATGAAGGGGGGGGGGGGATAGACAGATGGTTGTGTGATATATTCCCAGGATTCAATGGGTATTTGTTTGTTTGTTAGGCATTAAAGGGTAATATCTCGGCTTTGAAGTGCATAAGTTAGTAAGTAGACTTTGTGGGGGGGTGAGTTAATAAAATAAGGTGGACCAGTCCGCGAGATTATCATAATTGGTGACATTAAATTTAGTGATTTTCCACCTCTTGTTTGTTGTGTGAGTTTGGGAAACTCTCTATTTATTCGTTTACTTGTTTGTTTATTATATATAATAATATTATTATGTTGATACCCTTGTCATAACCCAGCGATTGATAAAATTATGAAATAGCTATGATAGTTAGCCAACTATCCTTTCGGGTTCACTGATGCTCTGGTACCAAAAGTTTGAGAACAAGCCATAATATTATCATACTTTGGGTACTGTCCTATCCTGTACTTGCTGTATCGTGTATACTCGGGTAGATACAGCTCGTCAAGTTAGTTAGTTAGTCGATATCGAAGAAAAATGGAAGGTCATCCATCGTGAACCGAAGTTTCTCATCGCCTGTGGAATGGTATCGTAATGTCTACCGAGGGGGGGGAAACTTCCGCTTCACACAAAGGCTTTTGCCGAGTGGCTGTGTAGTATATAATTATAGTATTATACATGCTCGGAACTTTTGATTGGGCACGCAATGGAGGACGCATGATTGGATGTACGTATTGTGCCGGACGGTTCTCATGCTTATGGGATTTGTGTGAAAGGGTAGCGATAGCGCGGTAGATTTTCAAGCGCGATGGTAAGCGTTTAGTCTAGTTATGTAGAGAGGTGTTGTGTTAGGTTACTATCCGACTTGCTTACTTGGCTTCCTATCATACCTATCGTGCCCATATGTCTGTCTGTTATTCTATATATGTAGGTAAACCCCGACTATGCAAACACCCAGCCTCATAGTGCACGAAACCAGTTTCGCAGCAGTTATCAATCCTACAACGACACATCATACCATACCCAGCTCCCCACTCCACCCGTAACCCCGAGAAGCTCTCCAGACACCACGGATAGAGCTATCGAGAACACACAGCGCCAGGGGGGGGAGGAAAGTGTGAAAGGAGGAAGGGAGGGGAGGGAAGAGCTGAGATTACCACGAACCCCATAAACAGAGACACAGAGATACATATGATAGCTAGACCTGAGCGCGGCTTGAGTGAGTACACGAGCTCCGCACCGTATAATAACATATCTTCTTACCCTTCTCTACCATACCATACAAAACCTCAAACATGATAATATCATAGAAACCGTATGCCATGTAGTCAAGAATTCCCTACTTTGGAAAAGGAACGAAAAAAAAAAGCTTCCTCAGCCCCCCTCCGCCCGCCCCCTCGGAGAGACATACAGAAGAAGAAAAAATATGATACCAGAGGAGGCAACTGCAATGACATAGCACAGGCTTCTACTTGTATTGTTCTAGTTTCTACGGTATGATAGGTCGTGCCCCATGCGGCCATCCGTGTGTATAACTCTACTGGTAAAGATGCGCAGAGCTCAGCTGTGTAAGATGTTGTGCGGTGAGCGCAGACTACAAGTACGATGGCACTGGCACTGTGTCAGGCTTCCTACCGGCACTGTGCTGTACAGTACCGTACGAGTACTCGGGTGCTCGAGGATTGGTAGACTATGGGAGTACAGTAGTATCATAAGTATGATACAGTAAGTTCAAATCGCGAAACCACATGATAAGTGATAGTACGAAGAAGTAGAAGAAGAAAGAAAAAAAAAGATCGCGGTTCAACCAGAATACCGGTACAGCACTCTCACCTGTTCTCACCTGTCCGAGAGGAAGAGAAGACATTGGGGAAATTAAAATTAAAACTAAACCAAACTCGGAACCCCCCCCCCCCTTTGTCCCATTCCATCCATCCAGATGATCAAAGCAAAACATGCACTGTCATCAACAAATTTTTACAAATTAAATATCATACTATCAACCCGAGTGACAGCGTTCCTTCCGGAACCAAAGCGACAAAGTAAAATAGAATACAAATACAAATACAATTATAATTATAATGACTTTCCCCCCATCCCCTATTACCGATACTTAATTCCCCTCCCCCCCAACAACGCCTTTTTTTTTTTAATTGAAAAGAGAAAAAGAAAAGGAGGGCAACTATCATACGTATTATCATTCATGCCAACCACCACCTCCAAAATAGCCTCTCCACCCCCGACGAATCTCCGTCCTATGATGTACCGGTTTTTAGGGAAAAGGAGAAAAAGACCCCGGATAGACACGAGTAAGCTGCTGTGTCTATCGTAGCCAGCCAACCAGCCAGTTACCGTAAGCCAGTTTCTGCAGTAAAGAGTTGTGGGCACCATATATATAAAAAACACCACGTTACACATCAATGCCATCTGCGGTCGTTTTTTTTTTTTCAGCTGAAACGCCCGGAATTTGGCGGAGATTCTTTCCTTCTTTCCTTCCCCCCCCCCCCAACCCCCACTTCAAACCCCTCCACCCCCACCTGGCCCAAACTAAAACTGAATGTCAGACCGAGTGATTTTTCGAGACGCGGGCGGGCGGGCTGATGACTTACTTGCGGCTGCGAGAACGGTGTGGTGCTACTCGGTGTGGGTAGGTGATTACTATGGCGCAAAAATAGATATTCCAAGGAGTGCTGTGTCCAGTCGGGAGCACTCCGGGAGGTCTTGGTATCCGCCTTATCCGGAAGGGAGGTAGGCGGGAGGAGGGGGGTTAATCCGAGGGTCTGGTTTGGCTTGAGCCCTGGGTTGCTCAGTGCTGTACCCGAGTACAGCGCTGTGCTCGAGCGGCGTGGTGCTCTTGCTCTTGGTGTTTATTTATTTATTTTGAGGAAGGGGAAGGGGATCTTCGTTGTGGCTAGGAAGGACACCCCGTGGGCAAAACATTGCACGAATGGCGGTTTTTTATTTCCATGATATATGATTGTTTTTGTTTTGCTATGATAATCGAGCAACCCGGATTCAAGTGGGAAGCGAACCAGGAACAGGGACTCACTACGAGAGGTGGATAAAAAAACAACAGAAAATCAAGAAAAACACCCAGAAATAAAAGCGGGGGAACAAATGCATGGCTAGCAGCAAAGGTTGAAGATACGAAGAAAGCCCCCCACCCTGCCAGATACTCCAAGGAAAACGTTGAGCGGAAATAAAACGAGAAAATGTGAAGAATTATAGGGAAAAAAAAAATGCACAAGGCCCTCTCACTCTAAAGAAGAGAGAAGGGTGGGGCATAAAGGATTATTGGTCCAGGAACAGGGATTTCCAATTCCCCCCTCAAACTGTGGAGGCCCAACATATTGGGTCCTTGTGTGAATGATTTTCCATTTTTTTCAACTCAATCCAGCCCCCTAGCCCAACCCCTGCCGAAACTTTTGAAGAAAAAAAACCCCCCCCCCCAAATACAAAGCATGCTAGAAGAACGTTCCAATCTAACCCGCCATCCCTGCCTCGAGAGAGAAAATTAACGAAACCTGGGAAACCTTAACGATGAAAAAGGGCCGCCACGAACATTGTCCGCGATTACATTGGTGCGTGTTTCGTTCTCGTAATGAAGGAACCAATCATTGTGCGACAAAAGAAGGAAAAAGCGTAAAAGACTGAAGGGAAAATAGCGAGAGGAGACCCGAAACGGAGGGATAAAAGGACGTGGAAAACAAGTCCATAAGAGAGAAGAATTCACGAACAATTCCGCATTAAGTTTGCCAGGGAGTGGTGGCCTAAAGGATGTGGTTGAGGTTGTAATTGTGAGGTGAAGTGATCACAGATATCCGATGGAGGGTGGAAGGGGTGGATTTTTTGATCCATTCCTTCCCTATTTCTGACGCCCGATGAAAAAAGTCAAAATAATAACAATCCGTATTAATTCCCGTGCCTCGTATGGACCGAGTTATCACCCGCTCTCCCGGGTTATGAAGTTGAACTCATGAGATGGAGCAGCATCCGTTCCCTCGCTCCTTCTCGAACGTCAACAGTGCCGCCCTAGTTGCTGCTTCAAACACATCATCCACTCCTTCGCCTGTTAAACTGCTGCACTCCAGGTATTTCCTGGCTCCAACCTGCTTCGCGATTGTTTCTGCGTATCCGGTTTGTACAAAGTGCATGGACTTCTTGCGCATTTCTTCGCGGGCGACCGGGTCTTCACGTAGATCCTTCTTGAGACCGACCAATATTATGGGAACACCAGGGCAACGGTCATGTGCCTCCTCAATCCACTGCATACACCGTCAGTTGGGGTAGGCGGTATATGTTTTGAAAGTGTCTGACGTACTTTGTTGGCAACGTTCTCCAGCGAGTCAGGGGTATCGACGGCATAAGCTATCAAAATAACGTGGGCTTTAGCATAAGCTAAGGGTCGCAGTCTCTATTCAGTCGTGTGAGTAGTAGGAAGTGAGTACCGCCGATCAAGACAAACCTCGTAGTCCTCCTGGCCAGCGGTGTCCCATAAAGCGAGCTGGACAGATTTTCCGTCGACCTGTTTGCAGGTGAATTAGCTATGGGCTCTGTAAAGGTGCTTTCAATGAGGGGAACTCCGTACTCGGCAATCAGTGACATAGTTTTCGAAAACGGTGGGGACCTGGACAGATTGTAAGTATGATTGAAGGCCTTAGTGCTCTATGAAAAGTGAGGTGGGCGCACGTAATGCTATACCACATGTTAGCAAATTTTGCGGTAAACACTGTAGGGCTGGAGGAGCGGGAGATTTTTTCAACTTACTGTCGGGAAGTATCCCAGAGTAAACACGCTTAACAAACTGGTCTTTCCACACGCACCATCGCCAATGATAACAAGCTTCCTACACCGGAGAAAGATCTTGGTCAGTCATAAAGACTCCACTATGCGAACGGGGATCTCCGCGTGTTGGGTCGCAGCCCGAAACGAATAGTGATTTATCTGATTGCAAAGGGAAAATCCATGCCTAAATTTGGCAATAACACATCATGATGATGCTGATCCTTCACACTGACAATACTAAGACGGAGGGAAAAATTCGCAGTGGGTATGCGAGAATAATGACGCGAAAGCGGGCAGATGTGGAGTGAGGGAGAGCGAAATTGGAGGGGGCAAAAGGAAAAAGCAAGCGTACTAAGGACGCACCTTCGTATAACGTTCTGAACGTTAGTATTCTGAGCCATTGAACTGGGAGGCGTTAATTCGAGAGTTTAGAGATGAGGGCGGTTGGTGATGCGGAATGTTCAAGGAGGGCAACGCTATCGGTGGGGCTGAAGCTTGAGGTTGTCGGGTGTCGAAGAGGGTGGGTTGGCGAGCTTTTAATTTGCGGAGCTCGGTGGTGAAAACAAACTTTGCAGCGCAGTTAGATGGCAGTCGGGGGTTTGAGAATCAGGAGGAGGAGGGAGGGAGAGGGGATGTTGAGTAGAAATAATGGCAGGGAGAGAGGGGAGGGATGAGAGTGAAAGGGTCGGGAGAGGGAGAGAGAGCAAAGCCGAAATGAATCTGGGGACGAGCTGGGGGGCAGGAGAGGGAGGGTCTCGGTGTCAACTTGCGAGATTTGTAGGAGGGCAAGCAATAGGTAGTAAGGTAGAGGAGGAAAGGGACGGACGACACACCACACGCACACACGCACACACACCCACAATACGATGGCCACACACACCCACACTTACACAAAACAAGGCGGAGGGCAGGGACAGGTGAGCAACGAGGGGAACAGAGAGCGAGAGAGAGAGGCGGGGGGGGTTGAAAGGGCAGAGAGGTGGAGAAGAGGAGGGAAAAGTGTCTTGTGGCTTAGTACTAGTGAACTCCTCCTTCGTGCGTATTCCAGAAAACGGGGAGACGCGGGTATATAAAATTATGAGCATAATGATAATAATTTAGTAGTGTTGAAGTAGTTATCGTAATCCGGAAGCGTGTTGTGCCATATTTATTCGCGGACAAGTATGATACTGCTCGTGGTACTTGTTTAGACTAGGGTTTGAGGAATGTTCTGTTATGATAACGTTTCCAATGCATTTACACCGGTACCGGTAATCGAGTATTGGGGTTTTCGGTGTTTGGTGTTTGGTGCTGCTCCTGTCGATGGGCTGTTAGGTTGGAGTATCATAGGGAGTACGATACGGGCAGACGGGAAGAGGCCGCAGGCCTTCGGGCTTTGCTACAGTAGGATATCCTCAGCTGCTGAAATGCCCTTCTATTCCTCGCTTCGGGATTAGGTGCCCCTCCTTACCCCCTCCGCGTGCACGCTTCAGCACTTGATGAGGAATAACGGTATGCAATGTTATCTAATGAATCACGTAATGTTGCGGGCAACCAGCGGCGGCTTGGGTCCCCTCTCGACCTCACACATCTCGGGCTTGAGATTGGCCCGGACCAAAAGGTACGGTTACGGTAGGGTTGGAAGGTTTTTTGACGAAGAAGATTCGAACACGCAGTGTACCCACACGCCCAAACCGCACGCATTCGCCACAGGCATCAGTGTACCGGCCGGTATCCCTACCACAGCGACTATCATACAAACGCAACCCCCCCGGAAGCCACTGGAACCCTGCTCAACCCTTTCTGTCCCCGCTCGCCGCCACACTTTGGGCCGGGATTCGTTACCGAGTGACCCTTGGTTCATCCTCCGTCGCCGCACCCTCCCCTGCTTGACAACCACCACACCCGTGCCCGAAGCCGCTCTTTGTTTCCCTTTGCTCGCTTGACACCGCACAGCAATCCATCCTTTCCGGGGTCCGAGTGCAAGTATCATATCATAGGTGCACTCCTCCCCCAACCCAACCCGACCGGTCGCGCTCGACGTCACCGTTGCCAACAGGTCATCTCAGGAACGCAACCAGCTCATCTGAAGTGAGGCTCTTTTCCCGCTCTGCCCACACAACCGTCTTTGCCTCTGCTCACACCCAGCTTGACCCGCTCCGCACCCACACCTTTCGTACAAGCCTGGAAATATCCATGTTTTGTGTGAGTGGACATCTTTGCGGCTCTTCTTAATTTTCTTCAATTTCTACTCATCGAGCGGGTAACCTCCCTGATTCTCCGTCACGCTACTCATCTACCTGCAATCCCCCCCACCTACCTCACCCGACCCCTACACCCCTCTCCCCCCCCCCCCCCACCTTTTCTATTTCTGCACCATCCAATTCCACCCTCGCCAAGCTGCTCCTGACGCTCGCCGTTATCTTCGGATAAGGAATAGGTACAGACTTTCCAACGCCCCTTTAACTTTCTTCCAGGCATCGCTTCCACCCCACCATGCCCGCTGGAAATCCCATGCGTACCAATCCATCTACTGATCCACCTCGACAGTCCCAGAGCAGCAGCAGGGGAACTCACATCCGGAACAAGGACGGAACGAAGCTAATTACAGTTCCCACCCGAAAGGTCTCCAACTCGGATTCTACCGACAGCAGCAATAGTAATAACATCGCTCCCTCAGCACCTCCGCCTCCTCCGCCGGTCGCCCAGAGCCCGATGTCTATGGATTATTCCAATAGCGCGAGCTCCAATAACGTCGGGGGCAAGAAGAAGAAGAAGAAGAAGGGAAAGCAGCAGCAACAGGTTCGGAATCAGCAAGCTTCGGGATCTGGTGGCCATTATGCTGAGTGTTACGGTGACAACCTGGCTTACAACAGCAGCAATGGCCCTGCTTCGCCACAGGAGGAAGACCACCGTTATGTGGAGGGTATAGGGGCTTCAATGGCTGAATACGAGGACCCCCCGCCAGACCTGGTCGATCCGGATGAGGACGAGGAGTATTATAGTGGCCCGGCCTACGATAATGATAACGATGACGACAACGACTCTTATGCCCCGTCTCAAACCGCTCCCGCCCCTTTACCGGGGAAAAAGAAGAACAAGAAGAAAAAGAAGAGGGGAGGGAATGTGCAGGATGGCTTCCAGAGTGCTGTGGCAACCGGTGGATCGAATCACCGTAAAGGAGGGAAGGACCGGATCTGGAACACTTCAACGAGTGAGGAGCGCGAGAGGATCAAGGACTTCTGGCTTTCCCTAGGTGAGGAGGAGCGCCGGTCTCTCGTAAAAGTGGAGAAGGAGGCTGTTTTAAGGAAGATGAAGGAACAGCAGAAGCATTCGTGCTCTTGTAGTGTTTGTGGCAGGAAGAGGACTGCAATTGAAGAGGAGCTGGAGGTTCTTTATGATGCTTATTATGAAGAATTGGAACAGTACGCCAATCAACAGCAAAATTCTAAGTACGCTGCTCAAATCCCTCATAGCCCGTCTCCCGGAGCCTATTCTGCTAGCCGAATACCTCCTCCGCCCCCGCCGGGCCCTCCTCCTAATCACCACCACCACCACCACCATCATCACCATGCCAATCATCATGGCCATCGAGTCGAGGAAATAGACGATGATGAATTCGACGAAGAGGACGATGAGTATGATGACGAGGAGGATGCACCAGACGATCATTTACCTGAGAATGACCCTGCGCCAGATTTTTTCAATTTCGGAAATAGCCTTACAGTTCAAGGCAGGTTCAGCCCCGAATCAGATTTTGCATCTACTTATGGAACAGCCATAACTAATTTTATTACTCTCATTCGATACTAGGTGGTATATTAACTGTTGCAGATGATCTACTGAAAAATGACGGCAAAAAATTTATTGAGATGATGGAACAGCTTGCTGAACGTAGGATGCAACGTGAAGAAGAAGCAAATGCTGTTGCTACTGGCCATGCTCTGGATATGTCTGTAGGTCAAAGTCATGTACCGCACACACATACTCAACCGCAAGAGTATGATGACGAAGAAGAATATGAAGAGGACGAGGAAGATGAAGAGGAGTACGAGGAGGATGAAGAGGATGAGCCGGTGGGTTATAATTGTGTATCATATAAGTTACAATCAATGCTGACAGGTAATAGGATACGATGACTGAAGAGCAGCGCATGGAAGAAGGTCGGAGGATGTTCCAGATATTTGCTGCCCGAATGTTTGAACAACGGGTTCTTACGGCTTACCGGGAAAAGGTTGCGCGCGAGAGGCAAGACAAACTTTTGGAGGAACTCGACGAGGAGGCTCAGCTTCGAATCCAACGCGAGGAAAAGAAAGCGAAGGAGAAGGAGCGGAAAAGGGAGAAGAAACGCCTCCAAAAGCTGGCCAAAGAGGAGGAGCGGCTCAAGAAGGAGGGGGAGAGGGCTGCGGAAGAAGCTAGACTCCGGGCGATTGAGGAGAAGAAGGCGGAGGAAAATAGGAAACGAAAGGAAGAGCAAAGGCTGAAACGGGATGCTGAGAAGAGGGCGGCAGAGGAGGAGCGTCGTAAAAAGGACGAGGAGAGGAGAAAGCGCCTCGAAGAGGAGCGGGAACGGGAGGCGGAACGGGAAAGGAAGCGTAAGGAGCATCAAGAACGGGAGCGTAGGAAAAGGGAAGAAGCTGCGAGGAAGGCAAAGGAGGAAAAGGAAACTCGAGATAGGGAGGCTAGAGAGAAGCGGGAGCGGGATGAGCGAGAGAGGAAAGAGAAAGCGAGGAAGAAAGAGGCAGCGGATCGTGAGAATGCCAGGAAGGAAGAAGAGGAAAGGTCAAAAGCAGAGGCCCTTGCGGCCGTGGCCAAACGTCCACCCCCCATCTCGGTTCCGACATCTATGCCTCAAGCGTCGCATCACCCGCCTGGTAGTTTTAGTTCCCCTCACCTACCTATCGCAACACCCGCCCTACCCAAACAGCCTGTTGGGCATTCATCTGCTCGTCCTCGGAATGCCTCCCAGCAGGGCTCTATCCAGGGATCCGTGGCGCCTTCGCCCAAGACTCCTCAGGCAGTTCCGAGAATGGGCTCCTCTGTGTCGCCTAATACACCCATCTTACAGCATAATACACCTGGCCCAATTATCCCCTCAAATAAGACATTCCAGTTCCCACCCCATATTCCTCATATGACGCCTACCTCGCCATTACCCCATCACATCGCCCCGCCTCCGGGGGTCCCACCGCCCGAAGGATTCCCTATACCCCCCGCTGGTGTCAACAATCCCATGAACCCCTTTCTTCCCGGGCTTCAACGAGGACCGCTTTTCCCAAATGGAATGCTGGTCTACCCTCCCGCCCAAATGCCATTGACTGCAGCTTCCCAATATCGTGGGTTCGCTGCGCCAAATGGGATGCAAATGCCGGTTCCAGCGAACCCAGGCATGAGGCCACTTCCTCAACAAGGGCGTGGGATTTTTATGGGAGAGGTTGCTCCCGGTATGCCACCTCAACTTTCCCCGGGGGTCCCATTGGTTGCCCCAGGGTCGCCGTTCATGGGCAACCGTGCAGAACCTGTTCCCATACCAGGTAACCACCCCCATAGCCGGGCGCCTTCTGGTTCCTCTGATGCCCAACGTCCGGCCCCAATTCAACGACCTTCTAGTGTAGCCCCACCAAAGAATTTGGACGACAATCGTAGTAGCGTTGATGAGCTTTCCAACGTAATGGGAAGCCGTGCATTGCTGGAAGACGATGACGAAGGTCATTTGACAGAGAACCAATCACCTAACCGACGGACGAGCGGTGTTGGATTCTCACCTCTGCCCACACGAGCGGTACCATTCTTTGATTCCAGGGGTAAGTATCTTCCAAATTCTCTCCCTCCATCATGTTGCGAAGACTAACATCATCCAGTCGATGGGCTCAGCGTCCCTGTTCCGTCCTGGACAAATCCAGCTCCCCTGGGAACAATATCCAACTCCCTTCCTAATACATGGGCAAGTGGCGCAGGTTTGTTTCCTCTACTCCTATCTCGTGAAGCTAGCTTTTCTCACAATCAAGCTAGGATGGTCTGATACCGACGCTGCACGAAGTACCTTCAATCGTCGCCGTATTAATAGGGCCGACCATATTCGGGCCCTCGCGTGCAAAAAATGCCGCGAATTGGGGGGGGAGAACAATAACTTTGTTGAAGTTTCTACCCTGTTGAGAGCCATGGAGCAAGTATCCCATCCCGACATGCAAATCCTCATGAAGGATCTTGCTGAAATCCTAGATATTGAAGGGGATGAGCTCAATGGTGGTGGGATTCTTGCGGTGAAGCACGATACAGATGGAAGGACACTGGTTAGGTTTGAAGGTGGTGAATTACTTGGTGTTGACGGGACTCCATTGCACCAAG